AAATTATAAGTGATTTAAAAATTCCAGAATCATTTCTGGAATGGTTAAACAAGAGAAAAGAAACTCTCGAAAATGGATTTTCCATTTTTGAGAGTAATTTACAATTCCTGTTGGTCGAAGAACCATTTATTATTATATTTGATGAGATCCATCTGTTATATATATATATATAATATATTTACTAATTAATATATTTTTACAGAATGCCCCAAATAATATAAAAAACTGGAAAATATTTTCCATAGCAGTGTCCAATTTCGCGCGACACTTGAAAATTGTTTATTTGCGAGCGGTAAGTACAACATTTACTTAATATTATTAAAATGAAATTAATTAAATTTTTTTTTACGCATCAAGTGGCATTCAAAAAATTGGATCGGCTGCCATTTTGAAGGGAGTTAAAATGGTGGTAAGTAGTATACAAAAAAGCACCCGGCTTACCACCACATTGGTCGGTGCGGTGGCTGATAAATGCGCCGCCAATATGGAAGCCATTAAATTCATGCAGAACCACGGAATACAGGTTCTGTATGATTTACAGCACTTCCGAGCTACAATGACAAGATCGGGAATTATGGATGTAATAGTGACCTCTATATACACCACTCCCATTCCCATCTTCTCAAAGGATAATTTTGAGAAAAAGTTGTCCGGTTTTGAACGGTTGGTGGAGAAGAGAGTACCCTCCCCATTACAAGACCGTTATAAATAAGAGGTAAGTTTCCAAAAATTAATAAAACAAACGTTTTATTCTTATTTTCATTAATTTTAGCTTGTTTCCCTCGGGTGCCTATTTGGTAATCTGTTCAATCGATTCCCAAAGAGGACATTCAGTCTAACATTGGTAAATTCCAATTACATGGAAGAATTGGGTGCCAAGCTGGCCCATGATGTCCATCTTGCGGCAGGTCACTTGGCGGTCACCGATTTACTAATCCCTGACGAGAAGACAAGGAAGGATGACGAGGAGCCAGGACCATCTAAGAGGATGAAGCTGAATTAGTCGTAGTATTATAAGAATATTTTTTCAATATTTTTTTTTTCTCCAGTTCCATATCAACACGCAAAATCAAACAACAATATACGTACAACCACCAGCAACAACAACAACAATATACACACAGCCACCAGCAACAACAACAATAGCCGCACAACATCCTGTGGCAATACCATCGACGCCGCAGCCTGTGGCGGACATTGCAAGTAGTCAGTGCAGCCAGTTGGTGACATTATGACCATCGTGTCTAATGTATCAACACGGCCATCAACATTGAATTTAACTAATTTTGACATTGCCACCTGGCATTTAGATTCCAATGATGTAATTTGGACCACAAAGGGGTTCCAATGCCCTTATTGTTTTGGGGTATTTAGATCAAATAACCTTCATGAAAAATATTTTAAAAATTGCCGCACAACCCCAAAGTTGCATCACTGCGAATTCTGTCCGTATGCAAAAGAACTATCGAATTTTGGAATGCATTTAAAGCACCAAAAATGTTCGGGGGTGCTTCAGGAGCTACCTTTACAGATTTGGACACGATGACGACCCAAGGTGCCCTGAATGCGGGGTAGACGAGACGGCGGAGCATGTGGTCCTGGACTGGCCACGCTTTTCAATCCCCGGGCGGAGACTCCTTGGGGAAGTAGTGACGGCGGACCTCATCGGACGGAGGTTGGTTGAGAACGCCCAGTTCTGGGCAGGAATGAGCAGCCTCGCCGCCTACACGATGAAGGAGCTCAGACGGCTAGAGCGACTCCGAGCGGAGGCTTGGCTTGCCTAGTCAATCAGTAGTGGGGCGCATAAGCACGCCAATCCTGGCCCTGCGAAGCAAAGTCTAGCGGCATTACCGCAGGGGACAGGGATTTAGTAGACACTTTTTTCTTTTTTTTGTTAGAGCTTAGTTTTAAGTCTTTCTTTCTTTGTTAATAAACGATTTAAAAAAAAAAAAAAAAAAAAAAATAACCAGCAACAACCATATACGCACAACAACAACCACCACCAGCAACAACAATATACGCACCACAACAACAACCACCAGCAACATCGACGCCGCAGCCTGTGGCGGACATTGCAAGTAATTCAGTGCAGCCAGTTGGTGACATTATGAACATCGTGTCTAATGTACCAACACGTGCAACACCAACAGTGCAGCCAGTTGGTGACATTATGAACATCGTGTCTAATGTACCAAGTTGGTAAGGGTGTCAATTTTTGCCACCTTACTCACACCCCATACAATTGTTGTCTCGGTGCAACTCATTCCTGCTTAAGCAAAGTAAAAACCCACACTCATCAAACATGTTGTGTGTGGCATGAGTGCCGGAATTTTTAAGCACCCGGTCATACAGGTGCCGATGTTATTTTGACTTTTCACCTATTCTGTTTTGAGCTACGCGTGCCGGTCACACTCGCACAAAAAAGGAAATTAGAAAGAGGCACAAGTAACAAAAAAAGCAGGACGCAAATATGCATGAGTAGGCAAAACACATATAAATCACCCAGGTGTTTCGGACACACCATGGTGTAAATATATGTATGGGTTCACACATGTACACGGGTGTTTTTTAATTATTACTTTCTTTTGCGTTCAAGCTCATTTCATTTTTGATTCTGTCTGGAAAGATTACAATGTCGTCGGAAATAATTAAAAATAAAATAGAGCGTGGTGAATACACCGTAACTCCAGCACACAAAGGAAAAAGTGTAATATGGACCATATTAAGTGATATTCTACAAGAAGACCAAACTGTCCTTCAAGGCTGGATATTTTGCAATACATGCAGAAAAGTTTTAAAATTTGTTGCCAACCAAAATTCGAATTTGTCAAGGCACAAATGTTGTCTGTCTTTGAGACATCCTAAGGGATAGGATGTCTTCATAGCAACAAGCTCTAAAAACCAAACAATTGTAACAAAGAATAAGTTTTTCTTTTCTCATCTTGTTGCATTTTCAAATAATAGTACTAAATCTGCTTTTGAGGAATTGGAAAGTTATTGTACAGAGAGAGTTGCTTTATGCGAGGACTTCGAACCCATTGAATGGTGGCAATCCAAGGAAAGCTGTTATCCGCTTTTATCAAAATTAGCATTGCAACTTCTTTCTATTCCATCGAGCAGTGCAGCGGCCGAGAGAGTATTTTCATTAGCATTCAATATTATAACCGAAAAAAGAGATAGATTAGGGCCTGATACCGTAAATAATTTACTATTTCTGCATTCCTACATAAATAAATTTCAATAAAGTATTTATTATATTATTTTGTATTAATTTGTTAAAAAAAAGAACGCAAGAAGCGAAATAAAATAAGCTTATTTATTTAAATAATAAAATAGCAGGTAAGTATTGAGCAGCAGGTAGTGAAAAAACAACACAAGCGGACGCATGTAAAAAAAAAAAAACAATACCAAAATCACTCAACACATTTTCTGCCTACATTTTTGTGTCTTCCTTTTCACCTGCAGTTTTTGGGACGCTTACTCCATATGCAATATGCAATACACACTAATCAAAAAATATACCTAATTAATTTGATGCTTGTAACATCACACACCCATACATGCTTGCAAAGCAATCACCTATACCCAGTTTTCTGACAAGTAAAAACACCAGGGTGTCAAAATCACCCTACATTTACCCGGTGCACCTTAAGTGCCGGTGGATTGTTGCAGTTCTCTGGTACCAACACGGCCATTAACATTGAATTTAACTAATTGTGACATTGCCACCTGGCATTTAGATGCCAATGATGTAATTTGGACCACAAAGAGGTCCCAATGCCCTTATTGTTTTAGGGTATTTCGATCAAAGAATGCTCTTGAAAAACATTTCGAAAATTGTCTAAAAACCCCAATATTATATCACTGCGAATTCTGTCCGTATTCGAAAGAACTATCGAATTTTGGAATGCATTTAAAGCACCAAAAATGTTCGGTGGTGAAGGGGGTGCGTTATAAGCCAGCAGGGGTGATGAAGGAGGTATGGATGCAGTGGTTGAAATTGAAAAAAGAAAGAGGGGTAGCACTCACCTCTTCCACCTCCTTTGCCGCCTGCCCCCTAAAGAACTTATAAACTTACCTAGCTTAACAAATCGTAGGACAATGCTCTGTGTAGTCTATCTGCATAACCTTATTAACGGGGATGTAGATAGCCAGCATTTACTAACACGCTTACATTTTAACATTTCTAATAGAAGGACTCGAATCTTTAGTCCTCTGTTCCTTAGCCGTTATAGTACGATATATGCACTGCATGACCCTTTTAGGGTATTATGTTCGAACTACAATGGTCTCTACTCTATAACATTTCTTTCCTGTCCCTCAAATTTAAAATATAGAATTTGAAATTTCCTTACTAACTCCTCCTAGCTTAATAAATTACAAATAGCTTAATATAATCTAACAAGTCGTTTCTTGAGCGCCTCTCGGTCGTCTGGGCCTCTTAGCTTTATGATGAATACAGGAATGCTAGCTGATGCTCTTATTGATGCACAAGCCATTTCCAAATTCTGAAAGACCGGAAAAAAAAAATATTACAGAACCAGTTGAGCCAAATTAAAGGCACAAGATTGAAAAAAAAAAAAAGAAAAAAATAAAAAGCGAGAAGTCAAGCGTTTGGCGAGCTGTTGACAACTGAATGGGAATGGAGGGAAGGCCGCGTTATATACCGTTTTTGGGACTAAAAAAAATCCCCATCCTCATTGAATCATGCATCTGGTCACACTGCTCGAAGGGCTTTCTTTTAATGCACTATGGGGAATTTGGACTACCACTATTTTCTGAGCCTGCATCCGTACATGAACATCCGTCGCTTTTAGATGTCTTCAGCAGTGGAGGGACTTGGCTCGTCGCACGGAGACAGCATTTTTATTGTTTTGTTGTTGAATGCAATTACAAATTATATTTGAAATTTATTTAAAAATTAATTTCAAAAAGTAACGTTTTCATCTAGTAGTGGCGCCACTGGCGGCGAGTAGACAAAATTGACACATTCATTGTGAATGCCAAAAGAAACGGGCACACCTAACCATTTTGACTCTTGGCGCATAGGATTTTGTTAGTTTTCTTATTTATTGTTTATTGCTTGTTAAAAGTTGGCTTCCACCCATGAATATCAACGATGGCGACTTCAAGGACCTTCGCTCCAAGCTGGACATCATGGGCTTCACCCAGACACTGCCCGTTCTGGCGATTCCACTGGTCCAGGCCATATTCGGGGATTTAATAAAAACGACGGAGTGTCTGCGGGACACAAAAAAGAAAGTTGCCGACTTGCTGGAGGTATGTCCTATATTCCATTTCATATAGTCGGTTGCTAAGCAATCCTTTGTTGTGGCTTTTCAGGAAAGGACCTGTTGGGAACTGGGTGTGGAGCCATACAAGTGCGACAATTCACGCCTCCTGGCCGAGTGCAATGAACTCCATTTGCAGTTCCTTCGGGAAAGGGAGGATTACGAGCTGCGTCAGTGCGGTGGGTTTCTAGTTATTACATCCATACATAACATAACGACCATTAGACCAGTATAATTCTCAGTTAAATGATACATTTCTTCTCATTTTCAAACTCTCTAGAATCTGATCGAAAGATCCGTGATCTGCAAACCGACAAGGAGCATCTCCAGACCCACAATGCCGGGCTACAAAACCAACTAGATGCCCTGCTCAGCAAACAATTAATATCAGCAAGTAATACTAAGCGATTGCGAGGAGGAGCCAGTGGTCCAGGTAGAATACCACAAACTTTGTTAAATTATTGAATTAATATTCTGTTACTTTTAGTTAAAAAACCATTTATAAGCACCGTGCGTGGCGGAAATGCTCCACCGCTAGTGCTTGGCCCCTCGACGCTGAAATGCACGAAATGCAATGCCGGAGTTTTCCAGAAGACTACCACCACCACCAAAGATGGGGTGACAGTAACACAGACCAGTGGCCAAGAGGAACTGGACAAGATTCAGAACGAACTGACGACCGCCGGAGAGCAGCTGGAGTTCTACAAACGGAAAGTGGAGGCCAGGAATCGGGAGATCCGGCGACTGAATGACATGCTCGTGGGTGGCCGACCGCCCGCCGCTTTGGCCAAGGACTGCTGCTACAAGGAGGTGGGCACCCTCTCGCAGGACATTGATCTGCTGCAGCGCGAAAAGAGCGAACTGATGCTGCAAGTGCGAGAGTTCCAGGACAAGATGCACGATGCCATGCAGCGGGCGGTGGAAACCCAGGAGGACAACAAGAAGCTGCAGATGCAGTTGGATGAGCTGAAGGAAGCGGCTCTCCAAGTGGAGGAGATGGCCAATGCTGAGATCGATGCCAAGGAGCTGGAGATCAAGCAAATGCAATCGGAAATAAAGCTGTTGCAAAAGTCAAAGGATCACCGACTACAGGGCGGGTTCTGCGGCATTCCAGGCGATAATCGTAACATGAACGAGCGCCTGAACGTCCTGACGCGTCGCGAAGAGGAACTGGAGTCCACCAATGAGAAGCACAAGAAGAAACTGGCCCAGATGCAGGACAAGATTCTGGAACTGCAAAAGCAACTGAAGGATCAGAACCAGCACGGCACTCTGGATGAGGAGAAGATACGCCTCACCTCAGAGAGGGATTTCTTCCAGAAGGAGTACCTGCGCTTGATGGGCAAGTGTGGCTCCGAAACGGAGATAGCCTTCCTGCATGCCCAAATCAAGTCCAAAGACGAAGAACTCAAGGCACTTCGCACAGAACTGTTTCCCGTTGGCAAGTCGGCCTTCTCGCCACAGAAGAGTGTGCAGTACGAGACTCTTCCTCCGGGCACTGCCTCTTCTGGAAGCACCGTGACCAGTAACCACAGCGACTGTGTGCAGGCCACCATTGGACGATTGGAGCGGGAACGGGATTGCGCCAGAACCGAACTGGAGAGAGTGCGCTGCGAGCGAGACACTTTAAGGGAGAAGCAGCTCAGCAATGTCCAACTACATGCCGAGGAGCTGCAGACACTGCGCCTGCGCAACGAGGAGCTCAGTGATCGTCTAAGGCAGCTGGAGCGGGAGAAGCGGGAACTCAACTCAGCTCGGATACCGGTGGAGACGAACTTGACTCTGCTCCAGGAGGATCTGGTCCAAATGAGGAAGCGTATAGCTCCCCTGGAGGCGGAAATAGAACGCCTCAAGACCGAAAATGATCAGATAAGGTGGGGGAATGCTTACACTAATTTTAATTATTTTTAAAACCATTATATTCCTTAATTCTTTTTTTAGTTTGCTGAATGAACAAAACGAGCGCATCATCACCGACTACCAAGGCAAGCTAATGGTGGCAGAGCGGCAGAGACACTCGGCGGATGTCCGGGCCAGCACTATGGACTCCAGTCGCGAGTCCAACCGCAACGAGGTCACCCAGCTCCGCACCGAAATCGCAGCCCTGCGGCAGACCTACATCAGCTTGGAGCACGAAAAGGACACCTTATTGGTATGTTTTCCATTATTCCATCGATTAGGGATTCTAATTCTTAAAAAATGAACACTTTTTAGAATCAATTAGATAACAAGACGGAGAGGGTTTATAAGCTGGAGTACGAGCTCAAGGATTGCAAGGAGAAACGTAATACTCTGGAGCAGAATGTAAAGGATCTGGAGGATCAAGTGAGGTAAGTAACTGAAAAGACATGGTTGTATTAGGTTTTAAAATATTTACTTAGTAATCACTGTTTATTTAACAAACATTAGCGGTTTAGTTCGTCTTATGGGAAGTAGCTCCCTTAAATACAACTCGCAGACAAGTCGATGTAATACATTCATGGCACAATCTCTTCCTATCGAACACGTTAACCGAATATTTCTAAAAACCACCTAAAAGAGAGAGAATGTGGTTAATGGAATAACAAGAGATCAGAGCGATCGACCAACACGGGGCATGCAACAACAGATGTGGAAAGGTGGAGAAAGGGGGGCATGCGAGATAGAGAATAGCTGGAAGATCTAGGTGGTGTTCAGGTGGCCCCACCAAGGTGCAGGTCATTGAGGAACTTTGAGTTGAGACGCTCGTTGGTTAAATACCTCGCCAGGCTGACGCTGGGAGCGCTGCAGTTGCTCATGCCGCGCTGATCCGCCTCCGAGGGCGTGTATCCCGGCCGGCAGACGCACTTGGCCCGGCTGGCGTGCGGCAGGATGCCCGTTCCGTTCGATGTCTGGGATTTGAGGGGCTCCAGCCACTGGCCAGCTCCGCACGGCCCACGACTATAAAGCTTATGACACTGGCCGTTGATTTCCACCATCCCCGGGGTGGACTCGCATATGTTCTGCTCCTTTTCGCTTCCGTCGCCCGAGCACTGCTGGTCCAAATTGGTCAGCACTCCCGAGCACCCGCACATGCCATTGTACGAGATCCCATCCACAGACGGCCTGGCGGTGAAGTCGAAGATCACCACCTGGTGCAGGGAGCAGGGTCCTTGAGATCCGATCCGGTAGCAGGAGTCCTCTGCCGGGAAGTACAAGCGGTTCTTGCCGCAAAAGTTGCGCACACAGCTGGTTCCGTTCACCAGGAACTCATTGACTTCGCAGGGACCTCTTGTGTACAGCCGATAGCAGATGCCGTCGCTCCAGGGCACATAGCCCTCCTTGCAAAGGCACTTGGCCCGGGGCAGGAGCTGTAGGGTGCTCTCTGACGCCTCGTGGGCGTCGTCGGGTATGCGGAAGATGTGGCCAGGAGGACAGGGCCCAGGGGTGTCTGAAAAAGGAGGAAATGTTGCATTTAGGGAGGCACTATGAGATTAGGAGGCAATGTAATCCAATGTGTATACCCAGCTCGTAGCACATTTGCTGAGGAGCATGATAGTGGGGCAGGTGCCTTTGGCAATCGCACCGCCCGCCCGGGAGGAAGATGTGACCCGGCGTCGAGCAGGGTCCTTTGGTGAAGTGCTCATAGCAGGAGTCCTCGGCTGGGTAGTAGTACAAGGATAGCTCTCCCTGATCCTCGCAATGGCATTCGGCCAGTCCATCCTCGTTCAGGACCAACAGCTTCCCGCGACTGCAAGGCCCCTTGGTGTGCCGGACATAGCACTTGTTGTCCCTCGGCCAGAAGATCATGCCCTCGGGGCAGCTCAATGGTCGCTTGCAGGTGCCCCATCGGTTGCTGGATCTGGTAAGGATCATGTGGTACATTACTGAGGATTCATTAAGCTGAAACCCACTCACCTCTTGCCCTGGTCCGGCATGGGCTGGAAGTACTCGTCCTTCTGGCAGGGCCCCCTCTCATACAGCTGATAGCAGACATTCTGGGTCAGGGGACTGAGGGCCGTTCCTGGCGGACACCGGCACTCTGCCGCTGGCAGATCCTTCCTCTTGGCACTCACCGCCGTGGGACTCAGCTCCATTGTATCCGGACATGGATAACCCAGTGTGAAGATCTTGAAGCATTTCTTTAGAGGAGCCCAGTAAAGAAACTGCCAGCCGCCGGCCATACTGGCGCAGGGGTTCTTGGCGGGATCACTCCAGGGCGGTGGCACAATGCCGGCTGACACTTGGTGGGTGTTTTGGGAGGTGGTCAGTAGCAGGAGTAGGCAGGTGAGGATGGAGCTGCCGGCCTGCAGAGCAGCCCAGAAAATTAAAAGCTTTCGACGTCTCATGGTGCTGGTGAGAAAGGAAAGTAGTTTGTTTTTAAAAATAGGTATTTCTAAAAACAAGTTTTCAAATATTTCCAAACAAAAATTTAAATGTTAAACAAAACAAACCATATCTCGTTTTTTTAATGAAGCTAATTTTAGTTACAAATATTTAAGTTATTTTTTGTAAACTCCACGATTCCCTGCCATGATTTATCACACCCCCAAGCTCTGTTTAGCACCTGCGACTGGTTTGAGGGTCATTTATTCGCCACACCAGACAGATTAAATATTGACATTCGAAATTATATGAAATTTAGTCATTAAACTAAATTAATTCCAAATTAAACTTAGTCTGTGATTATGCATCCGCCACCAGACCCCTAAAGATACGATTCGGGGAAGGAAACTCTCATTAAACCGGATGATGGATGACTTTTCTATTGTCGAGGTGGAGCTTGGAGCTTGTAGCTTGGAGCAGGGCTTAAAGCGGGTCCAATTCGTATTAGCCAACCCTTTGGGGCAGCTAGCTGATTATCATGTTGGCCGGACAAACCGCAAAAACGGCCAAAAACCCCAAAATCGGAATCGAAACAGACAGAAAAAAAAACACCAAAATCAAAACACTGAAAACCAGTAAACGGTTGGCCAGCGCGGTTAACCATGACCCAAATACCCATTTATCTTGACTTCTTTTCGCCTCCGTGGGCCAGAAATCTTCTGCTGGAGCTGGAGCTGCAGCCGGAACTGGAGCAGCAAGTGGCTATAATCGAGGGGAGCTTCTTATGTAAGCGGCAAGCGTCGATGACGAAACCGCTGCATGTGGCAGCAACACTCAGCGAAGCGGTGCTGGAGCGATCCACTGGATCCGCTGTCCAGACACGAAAGGTGCCACACACTTGGTGCGCCAGTTGCCCGTCAGTTTTTGGGCGGCCCATTGCATGATATGTGGTCAGTTTGGTCCAACTTAGCCAACTGGTTTTGACGGTTTGGGCCTTTGTCGGTCTTTGATTCTGGCTTTCCCAGGGAATCTCCTTTGGTTTATTTTTACTTTTTTTATTAAAATCTTTCGCAAGCTTTTTGTTAAAAACTGGGTTTATAACTTAATTAGGAAATGTTTTTCAGGGAATTTTAAATGTCATTAAAATGGAGTGAGGGTTTGGGTTTCTAAGAATATGGGTTTCAGAACTGAATTTAGGATTAAAAGATAAGGTATTCTGGGATTTATTTATATATCTTTGAAGATAAATATAATGATATTTAAATTATACTGAATGTTAAATATTTCTAACTTTAAAGATAATGTTCTTTAAGCATCTCTTTCCGCTTCAAGTCTATAATTAATTTAGGAAGTTGGTTTAAAAATTCCTTCCTTGTTTCTTCATTAACACACGATTAGATACACAGTTTTATTTAGTTTGAAGTTTTATTTCTTCAACTTTTGTTTTCTAAGAAACGACTTTAATGAGTCACTCCACGGCAGACCCTCCGAACCAAGAACACCAACACTCAGAACCACTAAAGACTTCCTCTTCATGAATTGATTTATTTATTCCGACTTTCTGGGAATTAAAGACGCCCTCAGGCCTGGTTTTCGCACCTTTTGCAACTTCTTTGTCAATAAAATCCAAACTGGTTGTTTGGATAATTGTGTTTTGATTTGGATTCAGCAATCACGACGGACGCACAATAAACAAACAGAAACCCGATCACAGTAAGGTAATCCCATAGGTAGAATCGACGGATGGACGAACCGATTGAGCGACTGACTGACTGACTGACTGAGTGATTGACTGACCGAGCCAGCGACCGCGATCCGTTCGCTCGGGCAGGTAAGAAACGTCTGAGCCCAACTCTCTTAGCATTCGGGCCAACTACACAAGGCGAGTCTGGCCAGAAAGGTAACCAGCCAAATGTCAGACTCTCTCTCGCTATGGCCGCTCTCTTAGCCTTTTAAGACGGGTATTTGAACTTTGTTTAGCCTTAATGACGGACGCCGATGGCTGGCGACTTTGACTGCCTCCGTTGACTGCTACTGCGGCGTGTTCTTGAGCTTCGGTTCGGGTTTGGGCCATGTGCGGATGTGGATGTGGATATACTGGCTACGTGCCTGGCATCTCTACTCAAAGCTAGACACTGCCCTGCGATCTTGACTCGTAATTGATTTAATCTTGGAATATGAATCTTAAAGAGTGGCAATCTGTTGACCTACCACAACGATGGTACGATATGATATATAACCCACATGTAGACTTCAATTAGAAAGTTTTTTTCCAAGTGTAAGCTGTCTAAGCAGACCCTCTCTCTTTATGGCCATCGGAAGGGGGTCAGGTTCTGGCAGACACTTGGCATTGATTGTTTGCCGACTCCCCGCCTTCGTTGGTTTCCAATTGATTTGTATTCTTTGTATTCCAGAAAGCTGACCAACAGGAACCGGCAACGCGACTCAGAACTGACGGAGACCTCAACGGAAAGTAAAACGCTGAGGCAACAGATTGTGGCACTCAAAGCCAGCCGCGATGAGGCAATAGCAGAGAACGGGTAAGCGCAAAAAAAAGTCATTAGCGAACTGAGGCTATCATAGAATGGCTTCCGCGCTGGGGCACATCTTGTTTTTCTTTTGTGGGCCCCCACTTCAATCATTAGAGGTGTTTTTGTAATAATCCAACACATTGCCCCACAGACGACTGATGGACAAGCTGAGCGACGCCCAGGCAGAGGCCAAGACACTGCAGAAAAAACTGAAGGACTCGGAGCAGCAGGTGGCCAACATGAGGCAGCAGCTGCAAAAGTATGTCCAGGAGGTGAAGAAGGCCGAGGACCTGCTCACCCAGAAGGTCAGTCTAGTTATTAAATTAGAGGTTAAGATTACTTAGTCCTAGGGCCGGAATACAGGTGTCATCTCACTTAAAGGAAAAGGAACGCGACGAGCTCTTGGACCACTATCACTGCCTTAGCCAGGACCAAGTGGCGCTGGAAGGAAACAACCAGAGTCTCGAGTGCGAGGCAGCAGAGTTCAAGTAAGAAATTTAATATCTTTTCTATTTAAACACTGAAATAATTAATAATTTAATTGCAGACGGCAGATCTGCGATCTAGAGGGAGAGATTCATTGTCTGAGGGCTCAACTGCACACCAAGCAGTGTGTTCTGGAGGAGATGGACTTGCAGCTTACCACCGCAAAGGCCACCATACGCTGTCTGGAGCGAGATCTGGAAAAGGCACAGGGCGATGTGCTGGTGCAAAAGGTGGACCTCGAAGCTCGCAAGGAGCTCTGCGATAAACTGGACGCGGAAAAGCTAAAGCTCAATGCAGAGCTCAACGAAGTCAACGACATCCGGAAGAAGGTAACCTTCAGAGTAGTTTTGGTCCTAAATTCTTTATATTAAATTTATAAAATATTAATCTTTTAAGCTGGAAAAACAGTGCGAAAGATTAAAGGATGAACTTCAGCAGGCGAGCGCCATGAAACAGGTCACCACTGACACCGCCGACCAGATGCTGGAGCGCTTGCACAACGACCAACAGCGGCAGGAAGATGGGGATATTAGAGCTAGAAGCCACATGCAGCGGCTGGAAAGGCAATACCAACAGGCCTTGGTAAGGACTTCAATTATTCCACACCATACCATATAATATATATCTTGCTCCACTATAGAAAGAGCTGCAGGAGGAACGAGAGCGCTGCAGCCACCAGGAGCGTCTGGCCACCGAATATGAGCAGCAGGTACGGGATCTGCGATCCAATCTCAACGAGGATCGCTTCGCCAGGGCTAGAAGTCGGGAGCACAGCCCGCGAGCGCCTTCGAAGACACTGTAGAAAAGTCCTTCCCGTCCAAAAACATTCCACTTTAATTATTTTTCTAGTTGTGTTTTAATTCAAATTTAATAAATGTACAAAATATATAAATTAAGGATATAAAAACTAAAAAAGAGTACAGTTTTAAGGGCTGTCTGTTGTTTATAGTTCGAGAACCTGTCACTGTATGTATCTTTCATTGGACTGGCACATGGCGGCTAAACTCAGATAGGTCTGGTACATGCAGGGGCAGGCCTCGAACGTTGGAATACCATAGTCTCTCTGTCTTCCACTGGCACAGTCGTCTCCGCATACGGATTCAGTGCATGTGTGCTCCGCCGATCCGTAGATGGACTCCCTGCAAGTGTGATCTGCTGAGCTGCTTGATCCTGGAATTTAAAATACATGAAATGTATGGCAATAGTATCCATTTAAATATCCCTTCACTCACTGCATGTATGGGGAAGTCCTACGCTTTGATCCTCTTCACCATCTTCCAGCAAGACCCGATCCCAATCGATAACACTGCAATCCTCGTCGTTGAAGGTGACACAACGATCGCTCTTTTCGCAAACAGTATCCATCTCAGAATAGGACTCATCATTCTCCTGACAGGCAAGGCACGAAGCTCTAGGAGGTTCGTTATCCTCGCAAGTGGACTGGAACTCGAAACATTCCCTTTGTTCGTCGTGACATTCTGTGCTGGAGGAACTATTATCCCTTGGGTACGGATCGGAAGTATGACTTTTGCAAGGACTGGTGCTTCGATACGATGCTGGCAAGGAGTAAGTACCATCGGTACTAGTATTCCTTCTGGGGCTGAAGCTTCGAGATGACCCACAAACATCATCTGGGCGATCACAGCTCTCGAATGTTTCCAGCCACTCTGGATGTGAATCGAAATCTCGGTAGGGACTACTTGATGGCCGCGATTTAACAACAGGAGGTTTCTGCTTGAAATGTTGGTAACTATAATTGGGAGCATCTTCATCGGAATCCGCATAAGGACCTCTACATGGTTCCCGATCGTGACCCGAGGCATGGCGATGTTCGTCCGGAGATTGATAAGCAACTGGAGTAGGGCTTTCTGTTGGGGATTCCTGTGTGAAGCGTCTTGGACTTTCTCTCTGGTACGAGTTGTTCAATATTGCTTCCCTCATTTCCCTAGGACTTCTATGAGGACTAGAGACACGGGATTTTACCTGTTGGAAAGTGCCAGGAAGCTGGCTGTGGGAGCTATGTATTAGGGATTCCCTCATCTGTCTTATGGAATCGTTTAGACTGGCGTGGCTTCTCATTGGGCTGGAGCTTCGAGAGCGGCTTTGTCTACTCTGTCTATTAGGGCTATTATTTATCCGTTGATTTGATGAATGATCAGGTCCTTTTATAACCGTGGCATCAGAGCAAGTGTCTGTGAAAGTTGTCGAGGCTACTCTATGAACTTTGGGTTCTTTTAGTGACTCCGGCAACTCCCTGTAGGATTCATCAAGCTCATCGTCCAGCTGTCTCATCTCATCAAGTACCGAAAGGCTTCTAGACCTCCTGGAAGCCAATTTCTCCTCATAACTGTTGGATTTATTAACCATTTCCTGGTTTCCCACAGTGTAAGTATCATTGGGGGATTTTTTTAATAAACTGGAATCGTCTGGTCCAGCTTCTCTATGAGAAACGTCTAAAGGTTCCTGATTAACCAATCTATTTGCTTCTTTGGACGATCCAGGATTAACTATCTTATGAGCATCTTTCATAAGTTCTTGTCGCATAGTTCTATTAGACTTCTCAAGGCCTGGAACACTTCGGTTGGGACTAAAACTTCTTGGAGTTCCTGTTTCAGTTCTATATTGCTCGGGAAATCTTTGTCTGGTGAAATTAGATATTTCTTGAGTAAATTTCGCGTAGGAATCATTCGATGATACTTTATGGATTCTTTGGGATTCTGGCGATGTCCCTTTCTCTTCCCTGTGAGAGTCAGGGCTCAATTTCCTGTAAGAATCATTCACTAATGTTTTTATTGGCCTCTTTGAATCATCCCGATCAGGGCTAGTGCTTTTGGAAGTTGATCGTAACTTATTGAAAACTCTTCTTGCTGAAGAATCTTCCCTGGGAGACCGATTGGGAGAAGATAGTTGCATTTGTCTATCAGGATATGTAAGTGATTTAGGATAACTTAATCCTTCTAATAGTGATTCTCTCATCTCCCTATTGAAACCATCAACAACCTGCCTTTTTTTCGGGCTGGGACTTCGAGATGGTGGTCTTCTCTCTTTTGAAACTGAGTTTTGTTTCCTCAAAGGTCCATGCTTGGTTTCGTTCAATGTTTCTGGTTTCACATCCTTGTGTGAGTCTTTTAAGGATTGTCCGTGGTCTTCTTTTAAATGATCAAAGGACTGTCCTTTTATTGGACTAGTTCCTCGAGAAGATTGTCCCTCCTTCTTTGGATGCCTTTGGGATTCATGTTCTTTCCGAGATGATTCAGGTTTAATATGTCTATCGGTTTCTCTAGCAGATTCATGTTTAATTTTCCTATCAACTGCCTCAAATGATTCCGGTTGTACAGCCATTTGAGAGTCTTTTAAGGATTCTCCAATCTCCCTTTGAAAATATTCAACGGCTGCTTGGCATCTACTTGGACCATCATTTCGGGAAGAAGACCTTAGCTCATTTGGATGTCTTTGGGGTCTGTATTTTTCCTTAAAAGTTTTTTCTTCAATAGGTGTAACCTCTTCTCTAGTAGATTCATGCTTATGGCTACCTACTTCTCTAGATTTTTGTTTAATTCGACCATCGGCTTCCCTAGAAGCTCCATGCTTGATATGTCTCTCTGGTTCTCTGGATTCTGGTTCCTTACATAAGTCTTTTATGGCAGATTCTTCTACCTCCCTTTTCAAATATCCAGGGGGATCCTGGCTTCTGATCGGACTAGCATTTCGGGAAAAGGGTCTTACCTCATTAGGATCTCGAGATGTATATTCTTTCCTAGAAGATAAAGGATTCATACGTGAGTCGTCTTCTCTACATTCTTCATTCTTATTTCTAAAGTTGTCCTCAATTGATTTTGGTTTCATATCCTTGTGAGAGTCTTTCATTAAAGATTTGTTTAGCTCTGCCTGAAAATAATCAAGGGATTCTCTTTTTGTTGGGCTAAGACTTCGAGAAGTTACTCTTCCTTTATAGGGAGATCTTTCCCTGTTCTGTCGATTTTCATTTTGAGATCTCTGTTGGTTCTGTCTACTTTCATATGAATCAGGAATCCATTTTTTGTAGGAGTCTTGTACAAATGTCTTTTCCAAGTTTCTGGCTGAATAGTTGGGAGCTCTTTGACTGGATGGTGGTCTTTCCTCATTCGATTTTTTGTAAGAACCTTCATACTCTTCTTCCCCACATTTGTTGGTATAGTTAGCCCTGTTAGGACTATAGGCCACATCATTATCAGGGTTTCTCTTGGTGTTTTTAGGATCATCGGATACTTGATAGAAGTAAGAAAAGTTTGGTGGTGTAGACCTGGTCATACTTTTGTATCTATCAACAGGAGATCCTTGATCCATATAATCATTATTTTGGTTCTGGTAGGATTTATTAAATACCCTTTGATTGCGGCTTTGCGCCACACATCTCTCACAGTTGCATCTTTGAGAGTGACATGGTCCAGACTCTGGATGATACGAACCATTATGTCTACCTTTCAACGGACTAAGGAACCCGGAAGGGTGATATTTCAATTGATAGTTAAAACCAACATTAGAATCTGTACTTGATTCTTTGAGTTCCCTTTGGTTGCCTCTATTGCCTGGTTCGCAAGGAGAACTTCTTGTATCCTTGCTCAACCCTTGTGGGTTATAGGGTTCTTTTCTTTGGCTAACAGACTCCCTTCTCATACATTCATCGTATTGCCTTTCACAATCCCTTTGGTTTCTAAAAGATGGCAAAGTAGTATAAAAATCTTTTGAATTAATAGTTTGATTTGGAAGCTCCCTTTTCAGGTTCTGATTGAATGGCTTATAATGGGTATCTCTTTCCTGATATCCTGAGTGGGTATAGGAATCCCCATAGTCCTGTCTTTCTTGGGAATATTTTGGTGTATTTCTTGTTCTTTGACTGCAAGGCTCTTGCGGTGGAGTGTTTCTTTCTTCATGGGGGCTATAGGAATAATCATACGATCCTTTTCTTTTTTGGAAAGGTATGGGACTCTGATTGCACTCCCTGGAATTTTCCTTCCACTTAGGTTGCCTAAAGGATGTATAAGGCTCATGTGAGTCGCTACTTGGCTGCGATGAACTTTGATCCTCTTTAGAAGTTGGCATATTAGAAGCCAAGGTTTCCTTTCCACACACAACGTGTTTACTTAGACCTTTACAAAGCTCCTTTTGGAAACGACCAGCCTGGTCGTAGGAAGCTTGAGGGGATCCTCCTCGATGTTTCTCCCTGGGGCGTCTTTCAAAAGTCCTATTCGGTTGCTGATGATTGCAATCATCAGTGTAAGATTGTTTGGACATTTCTTTTTTATAAATGTGTTGGGGCTTTTCCTTTTTAGCAGCCGCCTCTCTAGGAGAATTGCCCTGAGCTCTCGAGGAACAATCGCAATCCTTTTCAATTTTTTTGCGGTGTGGGCTTTCAAACTTTCTTTTAGTTTCAGCTCCACTTCGAAAACCAAATGAATTTTTGTCGGGTTGGGCCGATCTTTTTTGACTTCCACCCGTATCCCTTTGATATTTCCTAACCATATTCACCTGCGAAGCCTTTTCGCACATATTTTGGGGTTCTGTTTGGCTGGGACACTCCTTTCGACAACTTGCCATAGTCTGGGCCTTTTTTCTTCGTTCTGGGGAATCACTCTTATATTGATAAGCTCTGGAACCTAAACAGGGTTCCCTTAATTGCCCAGCATAATGAGAAGGTAGTGATCTTTCATTTCGTGGCTGTTGCCTTACAAGGGTCTCCCTACGACATTCACAAGTTTTTCGACTAAGAACCCGATGATTTTCGATCTCAAATGACGACTTCAAATTAAATAATGAAGTATTACTTGGATTTTGATTTACACATGGGTCCTCAGGACATGTACCAGTTGGTCCTCCTTCCATAAAATAATTACACTCCATCTTGGGGTTACCCTTCTCGCGTGCCATTTCTTCGAGACATTTTCTGTTGAGAGCTTCATCGAAACTTTCACAACTGTTCTCTTGTTGGGCATTACATGGGATATGATCAGTGCACCAGTAGGGAAGACATATCTGAATTTCTGAATTTTCTCTTCCAAGATCGGGCAAGTTACGGGGTTCATTATAGGTCTCACAACTATTGGGTTTCTCTTCAGCTCTCTGGTGACCCCGAAAGTTCTTCAAATCGATCAACTTCCTAATCTTTTCCCTAATTTTATCAGAATCCATGAGACTGGAAGGTTGATTTTCAAAAGGACACTTTTCCACCTGGGGATAGGTTCTCCCCTTAATATTACAAGGAGAAGGACCTTTATTATCCGCACATTCAGGGGGTATATCTCGGCAGTTTTCTTGTTCATACATTCTTATGTAATTCTCGTAGTTCTCATCTTTGATTTTTCTATCGTTCTCCCAGGTGCACTTTGGCTCCTTTTTCACTGGCTTTTCCAATGTCCTTTGCTCCCTTTTCACTTCCTTTTTAATTGTCCTTTGCTCTTTTTTCACTGGCTTTTCACAAAGTTTTTCTAATTTCTTCTCTTGAATTTTAGTGCATTTTTTGTCTAGTTTTAACATGGCCACCCCTATAGGGCTTTTGGCTCTTCCAGACGACTCCGTCCGCTTGCTTCCAGTGGAAGGACTCCTTTGGCATTTCTTAATGGGTTTCTTGGCCCGATCGGGCATCATGGCGGCACAGTCTTTAGCATTTCTTAAATACTCTTCAGTATTCAGATCGGAAACTTTTCGGTTGGCAGTCTGCCTGGGAAAGACTCGATAGGGAATTCCAAACCGACACTCCTGATGGGGTGACACTTCCCTGCAATCTTGTAGCGGATACTGCTGGTCTGGATTCCAATTGCAACATCCATTGGTGATGCAGTCGCAGTCACAGGCACCATTGCATGGGGAGCCATAGCTACCTTGGTACACGGAGCAGGGATAACTGCACTGGCCGCAACACCAACACCATCCGCCAGTTGGTCTTTTCTCGCCGGACTCTTTATCTTTAGGAGTGGGTTTTGGGGTATACTTTTCTGGCGGGGTAGGACCTTTCTTATGAGGAGACTCTTTAGAGTTCCCGGACTCAGGTGATGATTTTACGGCTACCACTCTTTTGATCTCCCCAGGAATCCCACCCAGACGATTCCTCCGCGTCCGATTGGCTTCCAGGTTTTCGCGCCAAGTCGTGTGCTTCCTCTGGACCACCTTTGATACCGGCTTCTTGACGCTCCTCTCCGAATCTCCGACTTTTACAAAATAGTCGCGGAACTTCTTCAGCTTATCTAGTTCATAGTCGATCCTTTGCTTGAGACTCTCCACATGTTCTCGTGTATGTTGGATCTTCGAGGAAGTGCGCTCCAATTCATATGACTCGCTGGTGGAATGGCAAGTTTTAGCTATAGGAGAGGGTCGATGCTGGGGCTCCTCCATAATGCGACGACCTGTGGAAGTCTTTTTTAGCTTAGCCTCTGAAGGATAATGTAATGGTTGGTTCACCTCTTTTGTTTCTGTTATGGCTTTCCATTAATTGTTTATTAAATCACAATATTCGTAAAAAATATAAATTGTATGTTCTCTCTGATAAAAAGTGACTACAAACTATCATGCTTTTGGAACGAAGGAAAACCTGTTGCTAGATTGCTTAGTTTTCAACCTAAATGATGTTTTCTTTTTAGCCCAAAACTCCCTCAATTAAGAGAACAAACTATCAAACAGTTGCTGCTTATATTATTATGTGAATTACCTCATCATATACACTAATAATTTCATATCGTTATATTTAGATATATATATAGTTGCATTTCATTAAAATTGACACGGGATAATGCCAGAATTTGGTACGCGTTGGGTTCATCGAGAACTAGGATAGATTGCATTTGAAGCCTTAAAATAAAATAAAAAAAATAATAATATTTAACAATTTCTAATTGGCTACGTAAGATCTAAATTAAGGTCCGGTGCATCAACACTGGGTTAGGCGTCGCTGGGGGAAAGCTCAAAATAAATACTATTGCTGGCCAAGAGAGGGCGTGGCAACTACTAGAACTGGGCTTGGTGGGTGGCGTGACTGGACGTCCTAATCTAATCTAATTCAATCCTTCGCTGGCACTTGACTGGCTGCTGGGCAGGGGAGTGCTGACATCACGGCTCTCGCCGTTGAGCAAGTACACGGGCACATGGCTGGTAACCTGATCGAGATCGTTGTCATTAGCAGGCGTGAGAAGTCTACTGGTTTCATCCTCTTCCGGCTCTAGATTGTCGGGTCGAACCTCCAGTTCGTTTCCCACCTCGGGAACCATATTCTGGTCCTGCTCCTCGAAAATGGGTGATGGCACTTCCTCTGCAGCTGGTTCGGGTTCTTCGGCTACCGGCTCTGTTTCCAATCTGGAATCTACTTGTAACTCCTCTATTGGTGCTTCAATTTCTGGATGTTTCTTTTTCCGGCTCTTTATATGACTCCAAATGGAATGAGCCCTACGGCGCTTTCGACGCTTGCGATTCTGCGGCGGTTGCTGGGGGGTTTCCAGCTGAGTCGACTCAGGCTCCTTCAACCGATGATCCTCCTGCGATTCTTCTGGCACTTGTCGTTCTACTTCGTCCGTATGGATATGCTCCTCCACATGCTTTGGCTTCTCCATCGACTGTTTATTCTTTTTCTTAGCTTTCTCCTGCTTTGGCCTTTTCTTCTTCTCCAATTTATCCGCTGTACGAAGCCTTACTCTCTTCTCCTTTTCAACAGCCTTGTCCAAGCTCGTGGGCTTCTCCTTCAACTGTTTTTCCTTCTCTGGTTTGGATCTCTTCCCTTTGGACGTTTCCCTTTTCTGTACTTCTTCCTCCTTGGACTTCTTCAACTTCTTTTTCTTCTTTTTGGCCTTCTCCGGCCTTTTTTTCTTCTCCAACAAGGGCTTTTCTTCGTTGGATAGCTTCCCGTGCTTCTCTTGATTCTTCTCCTTAGGAGTCTCTTGCGGCTGCTCCTCCTGTTGCTTCTGCGTTTTCTGATTTGAATTGGCAGGCAACTCCAAGCGCTTAAGATTACATCGTTTCAGTCTTACAATGGGATATCTTTTAATAGCACAGTTCCTGATAATGGCGAGATCGTGCTCCAAACGCCTTAGCTCCTTCCGCCGTTTCGCGTTCAATTTTCGCAGCTGGCGGCACTGCTTCTCCGCCTGCTTCTTGAGCTTCCGGTAATCGACCTTGGCCTGCATCTCCCGAAGAGCCTTCGCCTTCAATCTGTGCCGGCGGATCTTCTCCCGCTGAATACTCAGCAGCTGGTTGTAGAACTTCACTTGATCGCTGATGCTGGTTTTGGGGAATCGACGTGGGAGGTCGTAGTACTTGTTATGCGACCATAGCTTCTCCTGGTCAATGGAGCTGAGCGTGTCAGTGGAGGCTCTTTGTACCTGGCAGGGACTGCTTGAACTGTGCGTCGATGCTGGCGGTGTGGGAAGAACCACTTTCTGCTTTTGAGGCGGGGCACCGTTGCGGGGAGGGGTGCCACTGGAGGAGTTTGTGGTGGTGGGGGTCAACTGGCTCGGCGTGTACTCTCGAGTGTGCTTTATCTTCTTGGCCTCCAGTTTGGCAAACATTTGCGCACTGGCCTGGAAGTGGTCTGAAATGGAAATAAAATTAATAAAGAGGTCAAGAACTAAAGGTTCTCCTTCATACCCTTGCGCGTTGTTTGTCGAAGAGCTTCTAAACGATCAGCTGGAGTGGTCGACTTGTACCGCTTAATGGCCGGCTTTTTGAGTGCCCCTGAGTAGGAGCTGGATGCAGTGGCTCCCAGGTGCTGGGGACTAAAGGTGACCTGCTTCTTCGTGAGCGACGTTTCGCTGCAGTGGCTGTTCTGACTAGAAGACTGGCGGCTGTGATGCAAGGGAGTATTTGATCCACTACCACTGCTCAAAGTGGTCCTTCGGCTTCTCAAATAGTGGAAGCCTCGTTTTTGGACGTGGGACTGGTCAACCTCACTCCCGTCGTTGTCGTACTCGTCCTGATTGGTCGAGCTCTGCACGCCCTGATCGACGAGATGGGGGGCTGTGGTCGACACCAAATGAAGACTATCTCGGCGACAGCTGTAGCTGCTCACAATTCTGGGAACTGTGTAGGTGGGGGACGGAGCCAGGGTCACCGCTCTTTTGTAGGTTCGCAGATTGCTGGGATAGATGCGGGTGACGGCCATTGAATCGTCCTCCACGTGAATCGTTGTGATCTGGTTGGCGTCGTTTGAGTTGGAGTTCGAAGTATTTCCATCCACATTGGCTGGCACATTAAAATTGACCGAAAACATCTCCACTTCGTCGTCGGAGTCGCGCAACTCGACAATTTCGATGGAGTTGTCGATGCCGCTAAACAGAGCCGTGGCCCGCTTGCACGGCTCCAGCTGGCGAGCATTTCGGCAGAGATTCTGAAGAAAAATGGGCGGATGATTGTTCGTAGTTGTGGTTGGAGCAGCTTCCATGCTATCCCACAGCGGGCAGCTGTCCTCGTCATCTGAACTGAGTATCTGAAGGTGAAAGAATGATACTTGGTATATTTGAAGGCATAATGGGGTTTTATTTGGAGAGTTTGAGGCACTCAGCAAGGTTTGTAGTCATTTTGGGGATGGCAATGTGGAGCCAGCCAACGCCTGTCACGCGACTAACTGCGCCGGCGATGGCCTTTGCCCCACCTGCTCATCCGAATCAGACCTTTTACTAAGACATCACAGTTGGGCCCAAAACAAAGCAACACATAGGCTGCAAGGACACTGTACCGCACTCACCACTTCGTCGGACTGGGGCAGACGGTTGTCCGCCTTGCTTGCCACGTGCAGACTGGCTCCGCTGCTGAGTCGCAGGTATTCCAATATGGTGCGGGTGGCAGCATTCTGGGCCGTGTACTTGGGCAGGTAGTTGGCGTACATGCTGTTCATGGCCAGCGACTTTGAGGGCCGCATAAACTTGTCGGCAAAGTCCACGATGCGCTCCTTGACCGCCTTATCCGGCTCCAGGCGCTGCCAGTAGTAGAATATGAGTATGTATTCGATGTATAATTTATCCGGCAGCTCCAGTTGCAACATAATGCTAGGCATCTTCCAGTGGGGGAATAGACGGCTGTAGGGAAAATAATGATTTAGAATTAAAATTCGAAACACAGGAAGTTCCATTTCGATAAAAAAAAGAAGCCCTCGAAAAAATTAAAATTATCATTAAGATTAAGAGTGTTTGGAGAATATCTCAAACTCTAATTCGAAAAAAAACCTCAATAAGCCGGAAGACTTATTACCAAAGATAACAGACAGTAAAGTAATCGTTTCTAAATTTCATTGTTTGGGGAATTCAGCTTTGATAGAGCGGTTTCGGGCAATAAAACACGATAGTAGCTCGTAGAACACAATGTTGCGTTAAGTGGATCACGACAGAAAGTACCTGTAAAGCACAGATAAAATGCTGGCCCTGTTGAAGAGCTTCGGGGCGGCGAGAAGTGTGCGCAGCACATGCTCCCGGTGGACGCCAGCGCCACCCGTTCCATACTCCACATAGAGCTTCAGGCAGCTGCTGATCCTGTTGACGATGCACTGTTCACTTTCGATGGGCTCCTGGGCGGCGCAAAGCTCGCAGGAAATGTAGAATCCCATTATATGGCACATGCGCTGGCGGTAGCCGTCCTCCTGACGCTGCGTACGACCTTGGGCCATCGTGTGGACAACGTCAGTAAGGCTGATAAGGATACGGGCTAGTTTGCGGCAGCGCTCCGGTGATAACTGGGCCAGCTCAAACTCCTCCCGAATGGCACTGGAAGGGGCAAAGCACATTGTAGTAAAACCAATTTCACACCTACGTAGGTACTTACCTTTCATAATGCATTAGCAGTCGGGCCATGTGCTTGTCAAAGCTTTCATCGTTCAGGGCTGCTATGGCATCGTAGACCTTTCGCCGAAAGGCGCAAAGATGAGTAAACTCGTCATTCTCTTCGGCGTCGGCAGGGGTTTCCGGATCCGGGTCTAGATCGGCCGGTGTGCGTGGAGATATGTAATCCGTGTCATCCGCTTGGGCCACTGTGCTGGCCTTGTCGAATTCGTCCATTGTGCTGCCACTGTTTCGCTTCCTGCTCAGAGGACTGCAGTTTCCTTCGACGCCGCCGCCGCCACCGCTGCAGCAGCCACCATCACCACCTCCCCCCCCAAAAACACGCGGTTGGCAGAGGCAGCTCATGTCTGCTCTGAAATTACAAAATTTGCAATCGCAATGCAAGAGCGAAAACCCGTTAATGCAGTGAAAGTAGTCTGGGCCTCGCACCCTCACCATCCACCTAGGCCGAGAGGAAAAAATACAACCAAAAAGAGAAGCATAGGAAAACATACCAAATGTGGACTTGGGGGAAAGAGCTCTGGACACTCTTCTTATACGGGGAATCTATACGCTGCCGCACTGTACATTTGCGCCGTTTGAAACATATTACTTTTGTAATATGTGCACTGTTTGTAGATTATTTTTTATTCTTCGAGGAGCGAAACTTGGAGCACCGATTAAGAGCTTCGTCGGGAGAATGTGTCGTTTACACGGCACGTCTCTCAGGTCTGGGGCATATCGTGAAATGCCGCACTCGCGATACATCGGTAATCCCGTTTGAAGGTCGTTGCGCGGCTTTTATTCCCTTGATGAAAATAGCTTCCATGGGCAGGTGTATGATTTGACCTTTTCATGCAGAAGTGGGAGAGGTCACAGCAGTTGCCTAGTCTCATTTTAAGTCAAAGTTTATTGCACAGAAATTAAGGAAAACGAAAAAAGGCTTCTGATAGTCCTGGGAAATACATTCGTTACTGAGCACTGCGTGTCTATGCGTTTTCCAGCACTGTATATTAATGTATACAGGTAGTTTTAGATCATTTACAACACTTTTAATCGATAAGTCGAAATGAAAATAACGTAAATTCAAATTATGTAGTCCATTTTTCCAATTATACAAATTCTTTTTTTAATGTTAGATACAAAATCTTTTCTAAGTATACATGTATTACGTATAAGGCGGCGATTTACTTACTATAGTTATTATTATTATCGTTATTGTAAGCTAAAATCAGGGTCTGCAAATATTTTTGAATAAAAAAAAAAGTTTGAAAAAAATTAAAATAATCTTTTAATATCGATTTTAATTATAAAAAAACTAAAAATAATAGAAAAATTATATTTTAAATTTCTTTAATTACTTTTGTTAACCATTGTCATTATCCCTGGATTTATCCATACTTTTTTTTTTTATTTTTACTTGCATAGCTACAATTATCTGTCGTCTTGGCATAAATAAGTTAATACCAGTGGATACTTCTACCACATGAAATATCTTTCATAGAATTGTATACAAATATTATTCACCAAATGAAAGGAACTTTCTAGCTTTCGACTTTTAAAAGATATTTATAAAGAATAATTTTTCTTTCATTTTTAAAATTGAATAAATTCCATAAAAGCAGCCAACCCCTCATTAAATTAAGCTATTAAAATCGAAATAGATATCTTCAGCCCGACAATAAAACAACTAGAGTCGTTTTAATGTTGTTACCAACTTTATTTGTTACGTTCTTATTAATCAGTTCTTTCAATGGTTCTAAAAATTCCAAAAGAGAAAACTTATAGAATTACATATTAAAATTTCTCGCTTTCCATTCATTCTTCATTAAAACTGAATTTTAAGTATACGCAAACCACGGACACACGGTCGCGCTGAGAGCGTTAAAATATGCGTTGCAAGTACATACAACAGAAATAATTGGTCGAATAAAAAACCGAGGACAAATGCTTCGATGACAGATGCCGGTGGCCAGCTAGCCCATCCTTGCGGCTGTTCAAAACTCAGCCCCAGAATGGGGCCACTCTGGTCCCCCGCCTCTGCCGAAGGGTTAGAATAAACTACAGAATGTACGTTGCTAGTTGTGGCTTCATTTTGTTGCTGTTATTTGCACGGATGTTGCTGTTCATAGTTGTTGGATTTTCGTGTGTGTATGTGTTGTTGTTTGTGAGTGGGGTTCATGTTGGATTTACAACTCGTCCTTCTTGGGCGCCTCCTCCTCCTCCTCAGCCTCCTCGGTGGGCTCAGCGTCGGCAACCTCACCGTTGGCATCCAAGAACTTGACGAAATCGTCCAGAGTCCTGTCGAGGTTGAAGTCGATGACCTTGTTGTCATCCTTGCGGAAGTACTTGATCGTGGGGAAGGAAGAGATCTTGATGCTCTCCAGCTCGTTGGCAGTGGAGTCCATCTTGGCAATCACGATGTCCTCGTTGTCCTTGTACTTTTCGGCCAGCTGGTCGTAGATGGGAGCCAGCTGCTTGCAGTGTCCGCACCATGGGGCGTAGAACTCAACCAGCACAGACTTGCTCTTGTCGAGGGCGACGCTCTCGAAGTTGCTGGAGACAAGCACCTTGACGGGGTTCTTGTCCCAGTCCTCGGGCAGCTCCTGGGAGAGCAGATGCTGCTTCAGCTTGCCGTCCAAGAACTTCTTCAGGAAGGCCTCGATGGTCTCGGCGGACAGATCGTTCGATTCGGGCTTGTACTTGGCCATGTCTTCCTCCAGCTTGATGAGGCGAATGGTGGGAACCTCCTCCTTGTTCATTCCGAAGAACTCGAAGATGCGAGTGTGGTCCTCCTCGTCGGCGGAGATGGTCACGAACAGGATGTCGTCGCGGTACTGCTTGGCGATTTCCTTCAGGGGATCGACGTACTTCTCAATGTGTCCGGCCTCCTTGGAGACGAAGAACAGCAGGTGGGACTTGATGGAACCACCGAAGATCTTGGAAGCAGACTCGTGGTTGAAGTCAACGATCAGGGGCAGGGACTGCACCTGGGCGAACTTCTTCAGGTTCTCCTCGCTGAGCTCACCCTCGAACACGGATTTCTTGTCGTCGAAGGGCTTAAACAGGATCACGCCGTTGTCCTTGGCCTCGTACTTGGCGATGACATCAGCGTTGCTGCTGACACCGAACACGAACGAGTCCAGAGCGTTGGCAGCCTTGGTGAAGGTCTTGGCCTCCTCCGACTCGGTGTCCTTGAAGAAACCAATGATGGCGATCTCGTTGTCCTTGAGGAACTGTTCGGCATCGGCAACGCTGGTCAGATCCTTGGCGGGAGGACCGGTCTTCTTGGTCACCCAGGCAATGATGTCGGCGGCCTGACGACCACCGCTGTACTCCACGGGGGCACCGCTGCGGAAGAACTTCAGAGTGGGGTAGCCACGGACCTGGAACTGCTCGGCCAGTTCACCCTCGACGGTGGCATCGACCTTGGCCAGCTTGATGGGGGACTCCTTCTCGGCCAGCTGTTGGGCAGCCTTGGCGTACTCGGGAGCCAGAGCCTTGCAGTGTCCGCACCATGGGGCGTCTAAAAAAAGATTCCAACAAGAACAGATGTCAGCAAATGGCGGTCTATTACTATAATTACTTGGTTAACACTTGATTACTGGGTTAGGAGATAAGCTAATGACAAAATATACGCTTGTTTTTAAACAAAGTCATGCAATCATATCCCGCCAAGTGTAGTAATATCTGAACTATTTTTAGATGCTATCCTACAACTTGTTTCTAAAGATGTTTCTAGTAGCTGACTAAAAGAAATCAACCTAGTACTGGTTTCAGAAAACCCATGACTCATAAAATAAAAGAATCATTTACGACTTGTCCAAAAATTAGCATTTGTAGAATGTGGGTTAATGGGAAATTTAAAAATTCATTGGCAAGTTTCTCCAGTGAATGGACTAATTTTATTTTATTCCAAAAATGTTGATTAAATCTTTCCAATCATTAAATGTGAATTAACAACTTGTGCTTTATTTAATTAAGAATAATTTAATTCATGACCAGAACCGGAACAACTCACAATTATCCCCATTCGGTGTAATTATCAAGAAAATTGTTTGTTTTAATGAATAAATTAATATTCCATAACCTGACCTATGAACTTTTCTCAACCCAACCCTTTGTTTACATCAAGTACTTGGCAGGCAGTTCTAAATATGGACCATCAATTATCCTCGCTAGATTTGCCGCGGAACCAACTGGAGCAGCTGTCGCTGAGTGGCATTATGCAAATTCCACGTGTCAGATTCCTATTGCCCAGTGCAGCATTTAAGCGCCACGGCTGCAATTTCGGTGCGCATCCACGCACACGAATAGATTACTCCGGCGGATGACATAATCTCAATCTTGGGAGGAACGCCTTATCACCGGCATTCTGGCTTCAGCTTTCAGCTTTCGGAGCTGCGGCTGACGTGGCCCTGGCAGTGGCAACGCTTTTGTTGCTTCATCGAACCTCATCGGGAGATAAGAGCGTCCCTGTAGATGAGCGGCCAATTGTTGACTTAGCTGACGTTGTCACATCTACATAACACGTCGAGAGGTGCAAATCTTAATTAAAGAAAGAAATAAAACGCTGGCGTAAACAAACCCAAAGGGGCCGCCATATTGTTGGCCCCCAGAGATGCCAAGCTAGCATATCTAGCGGTTTAAGGCCAAACCAGCCGAATGGGGGACTTTTTTTTTATCAATGATTTTGGATTGACTGACTCTTGATAACATTTGACTTGTTTAGGGTTTCCGTAAAGTATAATATCTTAGTGTTACTAAGCATAATTTTTTAAAAAATAATCTAACCATTCATAGAACCAATTAAGGGGAAAATGTATTTTTAAATAAATGAATTTTAAGATTACTATTAAACTATTTTTAAAACTGGTATTAATTTTCTGTCTTCTCTGCTTGTAAATATTTTTTTGGCTTGAAACTCCACCTGTTTTTCCAACTAAAAAATAAATCTTCTGCCCATGCTGGACAGCACTGGCGGCGGGCAGACCGTTAGGCACGCGCAGAGAAAGAGTTGAATGAACTTTCCGATGCGTGGCTTTGCGCCGCCGTGGAAAAGGGTCGGAAACCAGATTCGAGGTGGAAATATCAGAGCCATAGCCAGAATCCGACTCAGTACCAGAATCAGAACCAGAGCCCGAATAGAAAGCAAATGGCGAACAAAAGTAGTTGGCTAACCCAGATTCGTTGGAGAAAGAGGGGAAGAAGAGTTGTCAGACGGCTTTTTGTTCTTAAAGTTGTTTCATTAGAGGGCCCCCAGTTCTGATATTGATGAAGCGGATGTGAGTGTGTGATAGATGGCCACGCCCAATTGGGTTGGAACACAGCACTAGAAACTAGAAAGCTGATAAAGGAAGCATATGGAAACATCAGACAAGAATAAGAATATATATATTTCTACTGCGCACAAGTTATCGCCGTTTGGCATTTAACATTTTGGATTTATAGCAAGTTTATGGCAACAGCAAACAACAATTGTTGCCGCAGCGCCGCTTTCTCTCTCTCGCACATACACGTCAGTGGCGAGCGGTGGAAAGAGATGGCGCTAGAAAGCAACGCCAGAGAGCGGCGCCTCTCTGGAGATAAAAACGGTTAAACAAACGATAAAAAAAAAAAGGTAGGAAAATCAACCAAACAATTTTCCCCGGTCGCTGAGTTTATGTTTGGCTTCAATTATTCTTTCCCATGATTAAGAGACACGGCGCAATGGCACTGCAATGCCGAGATTCTCGCCGGCCAGCAACTGCCACGCAGACAGATTTTCTCTGACGCTACACCGCCGCTAAAGACACGTAGCCGCTAACTCGCATGAATCAGCGGGAATCTGCAAGCCGGCCCGCCTCTTTGCCGATTTCACAGCGATTTCTTTGATTAAGGGTGTAGGAAGGAATGTCACTTACAGAATTCAACCAGCACGAACTCGTTGTCGGCAATCAGTTGCTTGAAGTTGTCCACAGTGGCCACCAGGACGCCCTCCTCCACTTTCACTTCCGAGCCGGAGACGGCGGCCACAAAGGACGCCGCCGCGAGCAGTGCACAGATCAGGAACTTCATCGCGGGCACTCGACTATCTTAAATTGCCTCTGGACTGTGTGGGTGTATTTGGCGGAACTGGAACCGAACTGCGTCCAAGTACTGCAAGTATCCAAATGGGGCTAGTAGAATCGGGGGGCCTTTCAGGTAAGGTAATGGGATGACGGGATGTCGAAATTATACATTTATATCGAAATATCGATATTTTATAGAAACATCGCAACAACTGTCACATTTTCTCCAATCTGGTCACTCTAAATAAAAAGAACATAAATTTAAAAATGGTTCAATGTTATTTGTGTTATTTTATTTGGTAATATTCATTTAAAAAAACTATATTTTATAAAAAAAAACCTTTTTTATTAAAACACCTTTATATTTTTTAATAAAAGTTTTATGTTTGTAGTTTCTGTCGAAAACCAAAAATTATTCGATAAATTATATGTATTCTTCATTTGTGTTAAAGCCAGCGAGTTATTTCAATAAATATTAGTACTGAGCAAACACTTAACAAAAGAATTGTCTGTCATTTTCTTGAGTATTTATTAACAAACATGAGCAGCTTGCAAAAAAGAGGCTTTATTTTAAACAATTACAAGTGTCGTTCGCCCAACAAGGCAAATAAAAACGGCTCGTGGGGCTTTAAGAATAAACCGTTAAAACATAAAACTTACAAAAATATATATATTCATAAAATCATTTAACATTTAAAATTCGTTATAAACAGTAATTAAAAAAGCTTTTTAAAACAATACTATTGAAACTACCAGATAAATGCACAATTACGATCATAAATCAGCATTCACAAGCGACCACCTGTTGAATGCATTGTTCGACTATTTTAAAGACAATTTCTGCAGTTTTTTCCGAGCTGAATGGCTTGTCTATAGGCGGAACGTGGACAAACAGACTCCTCTTGGTGTCCACATCCAGAGATTTCAGGTAGATATAGCCGCAAAGAAAGTCTCCCACATTTTTCGAGACCTTTGTGGCGCTGGGAGGTTTAGATTTATCGTTAGGGGCCTGATTAGAGTCCGCGGGCGCCACACAAGCATCACATGTTGCATTTACAGCCGCCACAATCTTATCAACGTCAAGGCCACAGCGCAGAACATTGGCCTTGCCATGGTGGGGGAGCTGGCAGCTGCCGTTGGGCAAATATAGACCCGAGTTGTCTGGCCTTTTGAACTTGTGGTTATAGGCCAGCTTCTCCACATAAACGCACTTGGCCAGACCCGACACGCCTACATGTATGACCAGCTGTCGGTGGAGAAAAATGACATCACCATGGCTATTAATGGTCCAATTATATGAGCATTCTTACATCGGGCTGGAGGTCCCAAATCTCGGACACTGCCTCGTCTACGGCTCCATACTCCACCGGAACCAATTTCTTGACCAGTTCGTACTCCACGCCATTGTGGGTGAGATTCTCTGGAAGAAGCTGCACTGCCTCCCAGCTGGCATTGACGGTTTCGTGGCCCAAAAAAGGCCCAAATCCAGATATAACAATTAGTTTGCGATCCGACGACGCCATATCAGATACTCCCACTCAAACCTAATGGTTTGTCTTTATTTACTTCTGCTCTAAGGCAATTGTATTTAATTGTGTTTGTGTTTACTATGAAATCATATGGTGGTTATCTTTCTGGGCTGCCATTTGAGCTTTTTTTGGGAGAACTAGCTAGTTTTTAAACTACAAATTATATGAAGATTTATTTAAATATTTTGAATAAAAAAAATATTGAGGATGTAAGAGCTTAATTCTATAAATTTACACACAATTAAACTTAATTCAAGAGCTTAAAAATTAAATACAAATTTATCATTTCTCTTTATGTAAGATATACATTTATGATGTAAAAGATAAAATGTCAAATGTAGGAAACGTTTGGTATTAAAAAATAGGGCCACACTAATTTGTGGGATTTTCCTGCTTTCGATAACGCAGTATGCGGCTCCAAACACTTCAACAACAAGATATATACATACATTCCAGACCAAAATCCGTGCTAATGCACCAGAAGCGCGATAGCGGCATACAATCGAATCGATAAAGCTGAAAGCCGGAGCATCGTGCTTCTGAATCCAGGGAAATCGAGTTACAGGTATTAGTGCTAATCTAATCTTTGTGGCGGCTGCGATGAGGGCGGCGCTGACTGCGACGCCAGCTGCGCGCCACCCTACGCACACAGGTGAACTTTGCACATTAACTATTCATTAACCTCCGGCAGGCCGCCTTTTGGACAACGGGCAACGGGGCAGCTGGCGAAGCGGAAAGTGGCACGAGCAGTTGGCTCCTTTCACACGGACACACGCACCACCGCATCCTCAGTTCCAGCCAGTGGGTCAGCCTATCCACATTCCACTCGCTACCATGCTGTCGCGCCTGCAGGACTTTCTGTCACGCCACCGGCGGAAATTTATAGTAACCGGCGTGCTGGTGGGAGGAACGATTTACGCCGCCCGCTACGCCCAAAGGCGCTTTGTGGAGTACCAGGAGAAGCAGGCGCGCGAGTTCTTTGAGCGGACGCGGCGGATGCATCATTTTGAGTCCACGGAGAAGACCTGCAATCAGGTGATACTCGGCATGGGCGAGGAGATGTGCCAGGCAGTTTTGAAGGAGTGCAGCACTGACGAGCTGCTCGAGCAGTTGCGGCAGAACCCCAAGAACAAGCTGGAGCTATGGGAGGACATGAAGATTGTCTCGTTCACCCGACTGGCCACCTTCGTTTATGCCTCCTCCATGCTTGTGATTGCTCTGCGCGTGCAGCTGAACCTTCTCGGCGGGTACATATATCGGGACATAATGACGGAACAAAAGCAGATCTCTGACGAACTGAAGCAGCAGTACCTCTCACTCATCCGACACTTCATCACGGAATCGGGTATTCGGGATTTGGCCCGTTACATTCGCACACAAGTCATTGCGGTCGTCAAATCGATGCCTTTGAGCCAGCAGCTCTCTCTGAACGACATGGAACAGCTGTTCTGGTCCCTGCAGATGTCTATAAATGCGGACCCGCGACGGGATCCCAACTCTCGGATGAGCAAATACCTTCTGCCCAGCCAGAATCCCAATCACTCACCCCTTTTGCAACAGATGTTTAACGAGACACTTGACTTGCTGGAAAGCGAAGATGCCATCGGCGTATGCTCTCATAATATAAGCAGAGGATTCGTGCTGGCCTGCGATGCCATTGCAGAGTCCATGGGAGAAACACTGCAGCACCTTTCACCAGCCGAGCTAAAGAAGCAGCAGGAGAACCAGCAGCCACTCAAGTTCAACCAGGCCTCGGGTAGCAGCACCCCGAACATGACCAGCCCAACGCCGGAGAACAATAACTTGCTAAACATCAACACAGTCCAGATGGCCTTGGCCAAACTCATTCCGATCATCAGTGGGATCACCTCGAGGGGATTTGATAGTGCTGCCCGACCCCAGAACCTGCCCACCCAGCTCCTCACCTTCTTCGTGGTGGCCGAGAAGACAAAGACGCTGGGGGCCAATGTTTACGAGACCTTTAGTTCCGCCTAGGAGCGGCAGACAAAAAAATCCAGCAGACACCTTATGCATCTCTGCATAGGTTAGGATAAGTTTATTGGAACATTGCATATAGTTTATATACATGTATATTTTTAAAACGAAACGTAATCCCCCAAAGCGTTCTTTGTGTGTCCATTCTATCCTATCCCGTATTAAGTTTTAGCCCCTAAGAACAAAGCGTGTGTAAGGTATGCTTAAGCGGATTCCCGATTTCAGTCCAGACGGAATCCTTTCAGACAGGGACATTCAGAACAAGTAACGTGAAGGCCTTTTAAAATAAATGGAGTATGTAATTTATGCATTGAGAATAAACAAAATGTGGAATTTATAGGAATAACCAGAGAGTTTGGCATTAAAATTATATTTTTAAAGTATGTATGTATGTGTTTTTTTTATTTTTTAAATACAAATAGTGGGTTTATTTACTTACTTTTACTTTTTTCCCCTTTTGGGGTTACTTTTTTTTATTTAAACTTAAAAGCGAGAGGTATTTAAAATTTTTAAAATTAAAGCAAATCCCGATCAAAATATTAAAATATTTCAAATTCCAGAAAAAGTAACTTCGGTATAGCCAAGACCCGAACCAAAGCTACTATCACAAAAGGGGGTGGTAGAAAAACCGCCCTGTGATAAGACAGCTGTAGCTGCTTTTGTTTGTTTGCCATTTCTCTTGTTCTTGCCGCTCTCTCTCTTTCTCCGGGCACTTGCGCAGAATTCCTAAAAAATAAACTTCCAAATAATTATCAAAATATGACAGACTGTAAAATATCTTTTAGCTAAAGCGTTGAGGTTTTTAAAAATTTTTGTAAATTACCGATAAATTTTGCACAATTAAATATTTATACAGCTGCATGCGGAAGTAAACTGCAGTACTTCCTTCTCTCTTCCGGCTTGACTTCTCGCGACGGGTCTCTCTCCGAGCTCCTTTGGGTGCCCAGCTGTCTAGTAAAAAGAACATTTACATTTTCACATTTGGGCGCAGTTGCGAAAGTTACGTGAAAAGGCAAGGACAACGGTGGCAGTTACACTTCCGTACGGTCTGATTCGCGTTTCTCCCACATATATGTATCACAGTGCTTCTTTTTCAAAAAGAAAATAATATTCTTACAAAATATACATAGATATTTAAGAGCCAAAGAGTTTCGAAAAGTGCAAATATGACTGAGACTGGAGAAAGCCTACAAATAAGCTTGGCCATCGGTAGGAGAAAAGTCTAAAAGGGCAGCAGTACAAAAAACACATCAAACCAAACAACAACAACAACAAAAGCAGAGGCTCCATTGTGTAAGTGCACATGCAAAATGTTTATTGACCAATAAGAGGTAAAAAGGGGCTAAAAGCCTATGTACTTAACCCATCAACTTTTGAGCCGCGGGCCAACCAATTTTATTGATTAAGACAAAAAAAAAAAAAAAGAAAACCATACCCCCAGCCAGAAGAGGACAGACAGACACCGAGACGGGCAGACATTGCGTGCGTAAAAGGGGGTGGTGTTGTAACGGTCCCAGGAGGTGGGAAGTGCGTCTCATATGTGGCCTAAAAATACGGAAACTTTATTATTAGACAGGCCACAAGTGAACATCAAACTAACTAACTAACTCCTCCAATAAGGCTCCTTCCTCAAGAGGTATCCACAGGGAAAGTCCAGGCACACCCCTACTTTATATGCAAAGTGTTAGGATCATAAATGAAAAACCTCTTTTTGTCTAATACATGAGCCTTGATGAACTCTTAATATTTATTTTTTTAAAGTTTATATAAATTTCATTAATAATATTGTGCAAGTGTATACAGTTTGTTACCAAGAAAGTCAAGCATGGCATCGTGAAGACAACAAAGAACTGAATTTTCCCCCAAAACCCCAGTCCATGTGGGGCTCTTCAAGAAAAACAATGCATGCAAGTCAGGCTATAGCCACCCTTTTAGGTGCTACCCTCCATGGACTCGAGCCCCCTAATACATAGTATATGTTTTTGTACAAATATAAATGTATATATAGGCATATTGACACACTAAAGGCATAGATCAAGTGCCTCGACAAGAGGCCACAGCACCTAACTAAATATAAACACATAAATTAAGGACGAAGGAGCTGACGACCCTCTTTAAACGGAAGGAAAAGTGCGTCATAGGAATTTCAGGAAAAGAAATTGGTTCGTTATAAATAATGTGGTGTGCTTACTTTAATATTCATACAGAAAAAATAGATTAGGCCTTTTACCAGAATCTATCCAGAAGGAAGGCTAACATTTCAGCAATATGGAGGTTCTGAGTAGTACCCCCGAAAAAATTGGTCGAAAAAAATCTAAAAAATATATTTTTTTTATAGATTCTTATGCAAAAGAAGAAGATAATAGATCTAAAAATATTTTAAGCTATTTCGCTCAAGAATTGAATGAAAATTGGCCAAGACATAGCCTTCGGTGTAAGCTGCATTGGCCCTCTTGCATCTTTATGGTTTAGGAAAGGGGTTACTTCAGAGAATTTGCAAAAAAATCAGCAAAATAATTAGTTAATCGATTTTGATTTTTTGAATCGGAAAGAAAATGGAAATATGTACATATGTACAAATCTTTTAAGGTAACCCACTGGAGAATCGGATTATTATTGGAAAAGATATGGTATTCGCAGGGAGCCATATTGGGGTTTCCATTAACTCTTTAGATTTTCAAAGAAGACGGTTTAAAAATGTAACAAAAAACTAAAAAAAAAAAAAAAGTTGCTAGATTTGCATGCAGAATGCAAGAGAAATGATCTACAAATATTTAAAGGTATTCTGCTTAAGGATCGGATGATTATTGAAAAAGATATGACAATATCTGGGGTGATATTGGGGCTTCCAAGCATTCTTCAGAATTAGGAAAGGGTCCCTAGAAAAATTTTGAATAAAAAACTTAAAAATAATTAGTGCCTAGATTTTGATGTAGATTGAAAGTGAATCGATCTACAAACCCAACAAGGTATCCTGATTAGGAATCGGAGAAATATTGACAAAAATATGGCCATCGCAGAGAGCCCTTGTGGGGTTTTCATGCATTCTTCGGAATACCAAAGGAACCCAAAATGAAAAATTGAATAAAAAATTAAAAAAAATAATTTTTTTTTTTAATTTTATTCAGATTGAAAGAGAATTGATCTACAGATCTTTTAAGGTACCCCGCTGGAGGATCGGATAATTATTGAAAAAGATATCAGAATTCCTCAGATTTTGGAAGGGGTCCCTCCAGGAGTTTGATAAAAAATAATTAGTTTCTAGATTTTATTGTGAACGAGAATCTATACAAAAATCGTTAAATTTACACCCCAAGGGAACGGATTGTTATTTCCAGAAGATATGACCATCCCCTGGGGATATGTTGGAGCTCCCATATTGGTCATTTTATGGTCAAAGTAGGTCATATTATCGTTATGTTACTGCAAACTCATATCACGTGGGTCATACATCATACATACATAAACTATTCAAGATAAGCCAACATTATGTATGCCTGTCCCAGCTAATTAGTTAGACATAATATAAATAGAATAAACCCTTCTGAAAATGTGCCAGAACCCTTAAACCTGCATCGATGGGAACATACCATTCATGGGACATTTGAATGTGGATTGGAAATTGAATTACAAAAAGAAAAATAACCGTGTCGAGTTTTCATAATAAAAGTGGAACTGCGATAATCAATAGAGTGAAATGAAAGGTGAATAAATAAACTCGTATCATGTTCTACATGGTCCCTGGCAGAGGATATTAAGGAGTGCTCCTCTGGCAACCAGCCAACCCCACCCGCTGGACGGTGGATGTCTTTGCATGTGGTTCTGTTTGCACGCGCCACTGCCCCAACCGCATCCCTTAACCATTGGAGTCCTACTTTTGCAACATGAATGAATGACTCTAACTACATTTTTCATGCAAGCCGGGGGATTCGCTTGGGTAACCCCATCTCTTTATCCTGCTCCTTGTTCCGTCCGTCTCCTGCTGTTTGCCAGTCAAAAACGTCAAAAAGTACGATAGTGAAGACCCCAATGAAGGACTGGGTGGACTTCTGGGGGCGGCACTGCACTCGCAAAAACTCTTACTGTTTTCCTAATTAATTCCTCCAGAAATTCCTTTCACATTTTTAAAGTGTATAAGGCTTGGTAGCCATGTGGGACGGCCAATTTGTGGTGCAGTCCCCGACCACATTTGGCACCACCTTGTTTGCCTTCCAACGCAAGTGATGTTGCAACCACACTTACACTCTTGCACCATCCCACAAACGGCCTGAGACGCATGATGTAGTGGCACATAAATGGCATGTGATAGATGGATGGACACTCGGTGTGGCTTTTGGGGGATTAGCCAGGAATGTGGCCCAAATGAAGCTGCATTCGCATCGCCTGGCGAAGGACTACAGGAGCCTTTGCCTGTAATTAGGCTCCCCTCGGGGGAATGTCTACCATAAAAGCTGTTGATAGTAGCCTGCTTTGACTTTATCTATTGCGTTACTTGGGGAGGCACTTCTGAAGACTCCCCTCGGCTCTTCGTGCCATTTTTATTACGTATACGCCCCGCTGGTTGATGTGGCACACAGCTCGACAGCTCGAGGCGAGGCGTTGAAAAAAGAAACTGCCTCTCTCTGCCCAGATAGCCATCTGTTTAGCTATTTGTACGTTTCCATTCGAATTGTATTTATCGACTAGACCCTTAGAGACTGTCGCTCGTTGTAAGTACTTTATTTTGGGGACCACTTGACTCGGAACTAATTGCCTGAAATGCAACTCGTTCATCCATAGCTAATCGATTTAAACCCGAAAATTATACACATCTTTATTATATTGATCGCTAATAATGCCAGCTCACTAAAAACGCTAGAAATTCTAAAAAAAAAAAGATTATCGGGAAACACGTGTGCGCATCACAAAATATGTAAATAAATAAGATCTGCGGCAGTAATGGTAATGTACCGCCCCTTCGGATCGGTCGAACGAAACACTATCCATTCCATTTCGAGAACAGTTCCCGCTCAGCATCGAAGCGATCAACAAGCAGAATCCGAATCCGAATCAGAATCCGAACTGGCCCAAAAAATTAACACGGGTAATTAGTGTTTAAATGATGGAGCCCGATAGAGCGACATTTATTTGGATAAATAATACCAATCTGTAGCCATAATATTTGTTTATCTTTTTCGCACAGCAAAATGACAAACGTCAGCTGAAGTTGGTAGACGAACGTAGTGGTTCATTGGCCCCCACCCGAAAAATAACCAAGCCCGTAGTCCAGAGCCCCTCGAGGATTGGGAGTGGTCATCATCATGCGACGTCCGAAAATATCCCTCAAGAAGTACTTCTATTTCACACTGATCTGCGCCCTCCTCCTCATATTCGGTTTCAATCTAAAGTAAGTAATAAAATGTTAAACAAAAACATAAAGTAAATATTGTAAGAGTGGGGACTGTTGTTGGCTTATGTTAAATATTTATGGGTATTCACAACTTGTTTAAGAATTATTCAGTTGTTTTGACAAGGTCTTGGCTATTTTTTATGTAATTTTTAAACAGCTTTATCAAATATTAATTATTTAACAGATAAATAAACTTTTTCACGGTTTTTTTCAAGGGGTTACACGCAGTTAGTATTTTAAAAAAAAGTCAAATTTCATTCATTCATTCACATGTACATATGCTATCCCAATTTTAACTCAATTCGATAAATATTTATGGAGCTATAAATTATTTTGTTTCTAAAGTCGATATCTCGATTTCTTGAAAATGGAGAATCTTTTGGGATATATTCCCCAGGCAAAGAGCGAAGGAATTTATTATCTAAAATGGATTTCTATTTATGTTGTTTATGTTTATTTATGTTTCTATTTATGTTTATTTATGCCTAGTTATGTTAATTAGGCAGTATTGCAAAAAAAAAGTTTAGCAGAAAACGAAATTTTTTTTTCAAAGTTAAGCTATTCAGTTAAAGTTAATTACCTGCATTGATGTATTCTTGAAAATAATCAGTCACAATTTTTGTATTTAAAATTTTCCAAACCGACAAAAAAATGTCACCACAAATCTCAATTTTTTTGGAATTAGAAAATATTTCTACATGACATGCTATCATCATCAGCTTGAAAGTAGCTTTTATTTAAGTAAGTTTTTAGTTTTAATTAAGTAAATAATAATTGTCTTAAAAAAGTGCCAATTCTGGTGAGAAAATTAAGAAAATTATGCATTTTTGGGTCGCTTAAATACGTGTAACCCCTTAAGGAATATAGTTTTTAGACTTAAAAGGGAATCACATTTTCTAAGTTAATAGCTTTGCTTTAAATCGATTAGTAATACACTTTAACCTAAGCTATTCCGTAATTACTAAATTAATGAGATTACCTTAAAAAAAATCCCCCGCAGAGAGCACGAAATATGGAAGACGCGGAGTCCCCGATCGGCGCTGATGTCTCAGCAGCAGCAGCAGCAACACCAACAACTGCATCAACTGCAGGCGGTGGATGAGGAGCACCCGACGGCCACAAGTTCCACACCGACACCGGCGTCGGCCACCCTTCTCCCAGAATCGGCTGCCAATCTTGTCGAGATACCGGAGCAGGCGGAACTGGAGGAGGAGGACAACGAGGTGGAACGACAGCAGGATGCAGTGCAGGCCAAGCCATGGTTCTTCAAGAACGGAGAATACTATCCGAAGCCAGCCAAGACCTACAGCAATCGTAAGGCCCGGAAGCGGCATGCCCCGCGGTTGCTGCCCCACCAGGACCCGCACTCCGACCGGATACTCAACCAACTGATGTACGTGCCGCACAACTATGAGCAAATCAAATCCAGCGGCAAGCTGAAGACCATTCTCCTGTACAACGGTCTCGGTCCGTGGAACGTCAAGAAGGGACGCGAAGTCTTCCTGAAAGCCAAGTGCCCTGTGGACACCTGCGAACTGACTGCCAACCGCGATCTGGCCAGCTCGGCCGACATGATCCTCTACAAGGATCACTACATACCCACGGGCATCCGGCGGCCCAGCAATTCCAAGCAGGTCAGCATGCTGTACTACCTGGAGTGTCCATATCATACCCAGAATGTAAAAGTTCCGGATGCCATCAACTGGACGGCCACCTACAGGCGGGACAGCACCATTGTGGCACCTTACGAGAAGTGGCAGTACTATGATCCAAAGGTCCAACAGCTGGACCAGGATCAAAACTATGCGGTCAACAAGACCAAGAAGGTGGCCTGGTTTGTGTCCAACTGTGGGGCCAGAAACGGTCGCCTCCAGTACGCCCATCAGCTTCAAAAGCATATTGACGTAAGACTTTTAATTAAAATTAAGAAAAATTATTATTTAATTTAATAATTTAACCTCTAGGTTGATATCTATGGAGCGTGTGGCAACTACAAGTGCTCTCGGAGTACGGCGGACAAGTGCTTCGAGATCCTCGACAACGACTACAAGTTCTACCTGGCGTTCGAGAACTCCAACTGCAAGGACTACATCACCGAGAAGTTCTTCGTCAACGCTCTGAACCGAAAGGTCCTGCCGATTGTGATGGGAGCCCGTCCGGAAGACTACGAGGTGAGTGCCCCGCGTCGTTCCTACATCCACGTGGATGAGTTCGCCTCGCCAAAGGAGCTGGCAGAGTACCTGCACATCCTGGATCGGGACGAGGAGCTCTACAACTCGTACTTCAAGTGGAAGGGCACCGGGGAGTTCATCAACACGTACTACTGGTGCCGGGTGTGCTCCACCCTGCACAACGAGGAGCAGCTCCGGAAGCCCAGATGGTACAGTGACCTCAACGACTGGTGGCGGGGTGTCGGGGTGTGTACGACAGGATCCTGGCGGAACTTCAAGGCGCGCAAGGATGTCATCAGCGACGACTGAGTGCTCGAGGCTATCCAGATCGTGGGCCTGGACATGGCCTAGGTCAGAGTCCAGTGAGTCTGTCGCTTCTGAATTGTTACTGTTTTCGTAGGCATCCAAAGATTTCATACTGTCCCTATCTACTTTCTACAGGATGGATCGATTTTTATGATTTTTATAAAGAACTTTTTAAAATATTTATTTAATTAAGTTTAAAGTTTCAGTAGAAGCTATTTCTGAAAGTTTTAGCATTTAAATCGAATCCAACCTGGGCTATCTATGTGTAAAGAATTGCTTCGTTTTTGCCGGAGTTTTACGTAAAGTGTTTTGTAGTTAGTTAGTAAGTAAAGGTAATCCCCGGAACTAGCGTCGCCCGAGGAAATCAAATCAAATCGAATAATCATACTAGCCCATAGACTAAAGGATCAGACCCCGTGCAGATCGCTGTAACATATACAATACCAGATGCATAAGAGAACCTAGAAACCTAGCCTAGTTATATACGGATATACAAATTATTTATAGATCTATAATTGATATAGTGGTTTAAACTACGAGCAAGTCCAACTTAGAGCATAAAAGACAAATGAAGAGACAAGACGACGGGCATCCGGCTGAAAAAGCACGACATTCCACAGCCTAACTGCAAAGGAGTAAGAGAATCTGCTTAATATATAGTCTAGTTTTGATCTTTTGTAAGTGTTTTTTGTAAGCAACCAGCAACTAAAGGATCGTCCTGTAAGATGTTGCCTGTTGCTCGGTCGAGCCCATTATAATTTGTATACTTAGTGTTCAGTTTTAGATTCCACCTCCTAGCCCGGCTTTTAGTTGAAACGTTAGCTGTAGTAGAGCTACTTGAAGAGGTTTCCCAGCCTGTTGACTAACTAATTAATGACTAAGTGTAGTAGAACCGATTCGCACAAGCCAACATATATCTCTGAGCTAATACAAATACTGTCTGCATTCCTATTTTTCACAAAAACATCACAAGGCGTACTATATAATTTGAATTAAAAGTACGCGTGTGTTTTTTACGATTTTTAGCCATATTTGTATTTATTGTGTAACATTTAATTTATAAGTATTGAATAATATCATATGTGTGTGTATTTTGATTGTGAACTTGTTTAATTTTTAATTTTTACTGTGATACAAAAATGAATAATTATAATAACAAGAATTAAACAATGGCAACATACTATAAACGATTTAAAAGGTTTTATTATCTATTTGGCAGGATGAGGGTGTTGTTTGGTGGTGTAATGTTTACTGGGAATGGCACAAGCAAGACTTCAGACTTAGGATAACAAAAAAAAAATATTTCAGAACCAAATCTTATTTTCTAAATACTGAAACAGGGCTTAGAAAGCAACGTATACTTCAATGGACCAAACAAATATAAATTCGTTGCAGAAGAAATGATAATCAACACGCTTCGTTTGAACTTCTATTGGCCTTTTGAAAATTCTAGCCTCAAAAGTTTTAAAAAAGCTTAAATCTGTAACTTAAACATGACACTTCTTTAATTGTTGCAGCAAATCCTTCAAGACATTTAGCTGCTCCTTTTTGGAAATTTCTTTTCCTCCAGCGGCAGCTACAATCTTTGCTGTAATCTTACGCTGCAGGGCTATGGCCTCCACCTTCTTGGAAAGCTGCAAAGAAACAAATTTTCAAAATAATCCAACAAAGTAACGAGTCCTCTACACAAACCTCATAAGCTCGCTTGATGATTCCCTGAGGCATTCCAGCCAATTTGGCTGCATTAAAGCCATAGGACTTAGGGCAGGCTCCAGCCGTGTACTTGTAAAGGAACGTAACCGTTTCCTGGGTGGGATCTTCGTTATCCTCGTTCTCCACCATGCACGCCATGTGGCCCAGGGTTATCCTCTTGTCGTTGTGGAAGAAATCGATTAGATTGTGGTAGTGCGTAGAGAACAGCGTCCGGCATTTGAGATTGGCCAGAAAATTGACGACGGAAGCGGCTATTGCAGTGCCATCGTAGGTGGCAGTTCCCCTGCCCAGTTCATCGAGTAACACCAGGGAATGGCAAGTAGCATGCTTCAGGATCAGGGACGTTTCATTGAGTTCCACGAGGAAGGTACTGTGCCCAGCCAGGATATCATCCTGAGCGCCGAGTCTGGTAAAGATTCTGTCCACCAACGAAAGCCGGCAACTGGCTGCAGGGATGTGAGCTCCCTGAAATATTCATGCAATCAAATAATTGTTTCCTACAATTTCCATTGTCTACTTACTATCTGGGCCATGATGACCAACAACCCCAGTTCCCGCATCAGTGTACTCTTGCCACCCATATTGGGGCCTGTGAGGAGAGAAAGCGGTGCCTCCGACTTGGTACCCAATTCCAGACCGTTGGGAATATAGGTGGAGGCGTTCACACACGGGTGGTAGCCTTCTTCGAGCTGAATGAATGGCTGCTCTGCCCCAGAGACCAGCTCTGGCACACAGATGACCATTTGTTGGCCTGCATACTCCGCCAGGGAGCCCAGGACATCCAGGTTAGCCACACAATCGATGCACTGCTTCCACTGCTCATAGTGATTGGAGAACTTTTCGAAAAGGCGACGCGCCAAATCCTTAAGTACCATATTTCTGGTCTCCTCCGCCTGCTGCATGTCCTTGAGCAGAGCTCGAGTTTCCGCTGTGGTGTAGCGACGACATGGTTTCTTTCCCTTGGTTTGTCCCTCCAGGGAGTAGGATTTGTTGGCCTTGTGGGCATGAGTTTCAGGCACATCCAACTGGTAACGCTTCTTGTCCGAGCCAAAGTAGCTAATGCGACACCCAAAGTGGCGCTCTTGCTCCTCCAGATATGTCTTCAAGCGCTTCTCGATTTCCGCTATTCCATCCATGGCCGAATCATATTCCGCATCCATGCCCGGTTGAGGAGCAATCACGCCCGTTTTGGCTGCAGCGTCATGATCAAAGGCAGTGGCGAAGTACTTCAGCTCCTTGCTCAGATCCGGAAAGGAGCCTCCTGATTCTGGCAGTTGGGTAATCCTCTTCAACAAAGGAGTCTCGCATTGGTGGAACATCATCGGTATTTTCGTCAGGGCATTAAAACCCTTCAGAACGGCCATGAAACCTAGCAGCTTGTGCTTGTTGTAGATCTTCTCCTCAAAGAGGATGGCCCTGGAATCCGGATGGTTCATCTCCTTCAGTTGCTTGTTGCCAAAAAGATGAATCTGCGCGAGATTACGTTCGAAATCCGGCATCGGAGCCAGCAGAGCACGGATCTCCTGCAGCTCGCTGGGCAGTCGAATGAGCTCTCCTATGGCTTCCTGTCGTTCCTCGATTACAGCCACATCACAACTCGGGGCACAAAGCCAGTGGTGCAGAAGTCTCTTTCCGAATTTGGTGCAACAGTGATCCAAGGTGGCCAGGAGGCTGTGCTCCTCCCCTATAATCCTCAAGTTTGACAAGGTGGTGGCATCCAGCACCATGTGGGAACGCCTCAATATGGAGGCCACTGCTGGTTTGGCGTCCGCAATCTGATCAGGTGGCACATACATATGATAGCGCGCCATGGGCAATACCTTAGGCTCCAGCTTGCACTTGTGGATGAAGAAGATGCACTCGCCAAGGGCTTTTAGGGCCATTTTGTAGTCATCATTGGGCGTGAGACCCAAGTGATCCAAATCCGACTGCATGGTGCGAAGAACCAATGGCCAATTGTCGTCTGATCCACTTCCGGCATAGTAGCGCTCTGCCAGAAGTTTGAGTGTCTTCTCAGCATTGCAGGCCTGGGATCCGTTGGCTGGAACCTGTTCCTTGAGGATTCCACCCAAGACAGTGCGCACAATCTGTTGCGTGCGAAGGCTCAACGCGGACTTTTCATTAAGAAGCTAAAAAGCAAAGACAGTTTTGTAAATATAGCTTGAAACTTTGAATCAAACACCTACCAAAACAGGCATGTTATGCGAGAGTAAAGTAAGCAGACGGGAACAATTCTTGTCATCCTCGAACTCGCCCAAATGGAAATCCCCAATGGAGGTGTCTATAAAGCACACGCCATAGCGGCTTGTAGTGCCCAGATCCTGCTCCACTAAAGCCAACATATAATTGGGCTGATGATTGGGGCCGATCTTGCACTGCGAACCAAACACCTGGGTGCCGCGGTTGGTGATCTGACAAATCTCACGGGCCACTACCTTGTCGAATTTGGTGGCCTTGATACGCTTGCAGCGCTCAGTCATCATGTCTGGAGTTTCCGTTTGTTCTACTCGAGCCACCTGAAGGTATTATAATTATTAATAGGACCTTAACGCTCTTCTATAAACTCACCTTGTATCCTCTGTCGATGAGGATGTTGGACATTTTGTCGAAGGATATTTCTGGGAAGCCAGAGTGAGCAAACTCCCCACGCATGTACGTGAATCCTAGCTCGTTGACGCCCACATCCGCATCCATGTGATACAGCTCGTAGAATTTCCCCACTTTGAAGAATAGAACGCAGTCGTAGTTGTCGGATTTTAGAACCCACCACTGGCGAACACCGGGGGATAGACCATTCAGGAACTTATCTGGTACGAGCAAGGTGCTGCTATCGTAGTCAGGGTGGTCGGGGCGCCTGCCAGCCTTGTCCTTGATCTTATCCGGCTGCAAGAACTCCAATTTCTGATGCGGCCATATAACCGGCTCATCCAAGGTAGAAGTTGTGGTCACTATTTCGTCGTAAGCCGCGTCCTTCTTGGCGTTGCTCTGCAGGTTCTTTAGCTTTTCTTGGAAGGTGGAACCCTCAACCAGCGACTCTGGTGGGTCGAGCTTTAGTTTCTTGCTAGTGGGCTCGATGTCGTTGTTGTTAATGGTCTTTGCCTTCTTACGAGACTTCTTGGGAGTTGGACTGTTCTCAGACATACTGGCATCGCTGGGCTCCACCTCCTCATCCCCGCTGCTGGCACTATCGTCGCTATCCTCATTGGCATCTGGCTCGTAGTCGGAGCATGCCTCCGAGAAGTCATCCTCAGATTTGGTTTCCTCCATTTCCTCCTCGCTCTCCGACTCTGGTTGCTGAATGCGTTTCCTTTTTTTGGGAGCCTCCTCATCGGACATGGCTAGCTTCTTCTTGGCCGCCGGTTTGGTCTCCTTTGGTGTTTCTGCCTTTTTTGTTTGTCCATTTTTGAGATTCTCCTTTTCCGCCACTTCGGATTTAACTGCAGATTCTGTTTTTCCGCTCGGCGTCAACTTCTTTTTGTCAACTGCCGGCGATTTTGTAAAGTAATTAAACAAGGTGTTTGTGGGCGTTCCGCCCACACTGGTGTTCAACTTCTTGGACATGTTGTTAGCCTCGAAATGATTGCGAAAAGTCGCAAATTCTAGGATAAAGACGCCAAAATAAGCGGCAAAATCTAGGAGTGTTGCCGGACTTCCACTCTTTTGACCGCGAAACTCAGCTGCCAAAAATAATACCAGACTGGCGCATTTTTATTTTGCTGGAATATTATTATATAAAATCATTTTAAAATAATTTAAGTATTTTACCTGCATAGGTATTTAAATTGAAGATATTAATTATTATTAACCATTTTAAATAGGCATTATTTTTTCCTTTATCTGGCAGCGCTTTTAAACAGTGCTGGAAATCACCGGTATAGACTTGTTGTCAGCGACTGTGTTGATAAGCCCCTGTTTGTTTAGAAAAACAAACCACATTTCACAAATCTCCGTAAAAACTTACTTTAAAACCGTTCAAAATGTCTCTAGCGGATGAATTACTAGCTGATCTGGAGGAGGACAACGATAATGAATTGGATGAAGATGATACTGAGATGGCTACTGCCGAGGATGAAAGCGTAAGCACCTAAAACAAATGCGGCATAAGATTCTTAATTAACTCTTCCCCTCCCACAGCTTTTGGCTGAAAAACTGGCAAAGCCGACTCCTAATCTCATGGAGGTAGATGTGGCCGTGCAATCAGTGCGAGAGCTCTGCAAGCTACGTGACTCGGAGCGCCTGAGAAAAACCCTTCAGCAGATCGAGCACTACGCGAGTCGCCAACGAACCGCCGCTGAGATGTTGGGGAGTGTGGAGTCTGATCCGGAATATTGCCTCATCGTGGATGCTAATGCCATAGCTGTGGACATCGACAACGAGATCTCTATTGTTCACAAATTCACCAAAGAAAAGTATCAGAAGCGTTTCCCTGAGCTGGATTCGTTAATTGTTGGAGAGATGGAGTATCTTTTGGCCGTGAAGGAGTTGGGAAATGACCTGGACCAGGTCAAAAACAACGAGAAGCTGCAGGCGATTCTTACACAGGCCACTATTATGATTGTATCAGTCACAGCTTCAACAACGCAGGGGTAGGTGTACAATTGAAAGCTAATATGTTGGTATGCTGAAGCTAATCCTTACCTTTTACCTCCAGAACCATGCTAACTCCAGCGGAGAAGTCCAAGATAGACGAGGCTTGCGAAATGGCCATCGAACTCAACAACTTCAAGTCAAAAATCTACGAGTACGTCGAGAGCCGCATGACATTCATAGCTCCCAACCTGTCGATGATTGTGGGCGCATCAACTGCAGCCAAGCTTTTGGGAATCGCAGGAGGTCTCTCCAAGCTTTCCAAAATGCCCGCCTGCAATGTCCAGGTTTTGGGGGCCCAGAAGAAAACACTGTCGGGCTTTTCACAAACCCAGATGCTGCCGCACACAGGCTACGTTTACTACTCCCAGATTGTGCAGGATACCGCTCCAGATTTGCGCCGCAAGGCTGCGCGATTGGTAGCCGCCAAGTCAGTGCTAGCCGCTCGGGTAGATGCCTGCCATGAGAGTGTCCACGGGGAGATTGGTCTGCGCTTTAAGGAGGATATTGAAAAGAAGTTGGATAAACTGCAGGAGCCGCCGCCGGTGAAGTTCATCAAACCCTTGCCGAAGCCCATTGAGGGAAGCAAGAAGAAACGGGGAGGCAAACGTGTGCGCAAAATGAAGGAGCGATACGCGCTTACAGAGTTCCGTAAGCAAGCTAACCGCATGAATTTCGGAGATGTAAGTGGATGTTTCACGTTTCTTTTGGAATTTATTAAAATTCATTTATTCCCCCACAGATCGAAGAGGATGCCTACCAGGGGGATTTGGGCTACTCCCGTGGCACTATTGGAAAGACTGGTACGGGCCGTATTCGGTTGCCACAAGTGGACGAGAAGACCAAGGTGCGCATCAGCAAGACCCTGCACAAGAATCTCCAAAAGCAACAGGTCTACGGAGGCAACACCACAGTCAAGCGTCAGATATCGGGAACAGCCTCGAGTGTTGCCTTCACGCCGCTGCAAGGCCTGGAGATTGTCAACCCACAGGCGGCGGAGCGATCACAGACCGAATCCAATGCCAAATACTTTTCAAACACCTCTGGATTCCTTTCGGTGGGTCAGCGGACCACATAAAGCCTTGATTTGTAATTTTCTATAAAATAAGCACTTTTATTTGGAGATTTGTCGAATGTTAAATGAGATAGGCGTAGTCAAGCTGCAATGAAGCTGCCAAAAAGATTCCATTTGTCGTTAGCTGAGCTTGCCCACCTCCAGTTTGCGTTGAATTGCCTCCAAGGAGTTGTTCAGCAGCACGGCCAGTATGCCGGCTACTGTAAACACGCCACCAATGATGGAGCAGCAATTGGTGGCAAAGTGGCCAAAAGAGCTGAATGGGATAGAAAATTTAAATAAATAAAAAGTTTTAGTTTCGAAAAGTTTGTTTTTACTGACCTGCGCTTTTCCGCGTACTTGACCATCAGCGGAGAGAGTTCGTAGCTGAAGAATATGCCGGGCATTCCGCGTTCCCGATCCGAAAGATCTTTCCGGTGCCGTGTCACCGAAAATTGGTTTGTGTATATGGGCTTACCGTCGCTATCCCGCATATATAATGTGGGAACTATTTTTAAATAGTAATTGAACATTTCACTTTTTTTTTCTAAAAAAAAATTAATTTTTTGTTAATAAAAAATTATTTGATTAAAAGTTTTAATATTAAATATGTGATTTTATATTTTTAAGAGCTTTTAAATGGGCTCTTTTTTATTCCTTGTTATATTTTTTTAATATTTTCGAACTAAAAACTTTATTTTTCAAATTTCTACATTTACTAACGCCCTCTAGCGTGTATAAAATCAAACCTTCCAGGGATGGCACATAGGAATCGTGCCACCCACTGTCAGGCAACCCTGTCCTATTATCTGACAACTCTGTTTGACACATATCTCATTCACAACGAAGTCGGAGTCGAATAAGTATAAAGATTCTGAAAATAGACGAATTGTCTGAATTTTTGACTGAACAAATCCGAAGCAATTTGAAGCAGCTGCGCTTGGCAATCGGCAGAAGTTACAGGAGCACAGGTAGATCAGACCCATTCAGGAATGCCGCTGCCCTCTGGTTCGTTCTCCCAACAGGGACCCACATGTTTTGATAAGATGAAGACGGGCTTCATCATTGGTTTCTGCGTGGGCATGGCCAGCGGAGCGCTCTTTGGCGGCTTTTCGGCGCTAAGGTGAGTTGGACTTCGATCCCGGCCGGGGTTCTATTGCCGCGTGACGCAAGCCGGGCAAGCCCATTATGTAATTAGACCGGCTAAAAGACTAATGAACCGAACTCTCTCTTTCCGCAGATACGGCTTGCGCGGAAGAGAACTTATCAACAACGTGGGCAAAGTAATGGTGCAGGGCGGCGGTACTTTCGGCACCTTTATGGCCATCGGCACAGGGATCCGCTGCTGATCCTGCTGCTTCTGCCTGCATTTTGGCACAGTCCTAGCTTAGTCACTTAACGAACCTTAATTCTTAACCAACTCTTGTTTAAATTACGCTAAGTTATTGAAATAGAAACGTTAAACCAACTCACCCTCTACTTCTACGTGCATCCCATCCAGCGGATGCGTCTTGGCAAACTCAATCTTCTCGCCAAACGACAAATGATTGATAGTGTGGGACAGCTTCACATTGCTGAACTGGAAGTCATGGATGTGGAATTGTCGTATGGAGAAGCTCTTGCCGGGGGCAAAGTGAAAGCTGCCGGCCATACGATTCACCTCCAGGTGTCCCTGGATGCGGCAGCCTTCCTTAAAGGCATCCTCGTCTGTACGCTTGTATTTTCCCTTGCACTGCTCGATCTTGTCCACCTGCACGTTCCATTTGCGCAGCCGGTAGGCATCAAGCACCTCCTCGCAGGTGTTGCAGCAGCTGGGAAGAAGCAGTGTTTAGACAGTGTTCAGGCATTCGTTTAGGGTCTATTTTTCTTACTGCGTAGAGTTGTGCTCAGCTCCATAGCAGCTGCCGCAAGTGACATTCTTATTGGGCGGAGAGACGGCCACAATCTCCTTAATGGGCGTCTCTTTCAGAGGCTCTCCTTTAAGATCTAGTCTGTGCTTAAAGACATCGTGGTCCACCCTCAAGTGTGTGTCCCCCGACGAGTCCATCGCATCCAAAGACACGTAGTTGCATCCCAGATTGTGGAGGGTGACGTCCAGATTAATGCGCAGCTTGTGGCCGCGGGTGGTGTCCACGAACAGCTCCTCATTCATGGTGGGCTGCATGTAGTTCAGGAATTCAAGGAAGATCAACAGGCTGATGATGCTGGTACTTATAATAGTGACTGAAAACCGGAGGAAAACAAGTTGTTTGGTTTCTTATCTCTGAGATTGAAATTCCAATTAGCCCACCTGCGGCACCGCCCACTGTGCGCACGCTGAAGTCATCCAGGGTTCGCGGATAGGCGTCCAGACGTCTCAGGACGTCGGCAAACTTCATTTTGTTAACAGAAACACACAAAAACACGAATATGAGACGTAAACAATAAAATTACATGATTTTCTTAGCGGTAAATGACGTGGTTGCGGTGCGGGGGTTGCCAGATTATTAAAAGCATGAACCAGATGTTTGCCAGAGGTGCCATATTGGTGAAAATAGTTGGGTTTTAAATTTTCAAAATAAAGATTGTAGGTTAAATTTAAAGAAATATTTTAATAAAGCCATAAATTAATTTATTTCTAGCTTCCTTTTCATTAAGTTTTTTAAATTCTTAAAAAATGTTTCAATGTTTCTTTTTTGCATTTTTGTGCGGAAACCATGTTTTAAAATTTAAAAGAATATGCAAGAATAAAAAATTAGTTATACATTTTAATTTGATAGATACAAATTAGTTAGAATTTGAAATTCTAAAATTTTTTTTTAATTTTTAGCACCAATATTGGTTTAAAAATGATCCTATGATTTTCTTCTGGTACATTTATTATTCTTTTTGAAGCCAAAGTTTATGTAAACACAAATATGGAACATAAAGAAGTAAAATTAAGACATAAATGTACTAACTAAAAGAATCTTTTTACTATCCTTCTTTATGTGCCATTTTTGCCATTGATACGCCGCGTTGGCCGGCTATAGGAAGAGAAGGCTAATGGCCGCCGTCTGGCCACCCTTTACGAATAATGTTTAATAGTGTTGTCATGTCTTGAGGCTGTGGTTGCGCATACATTAGGCAAAGTCACCCACCACCCCCACCCATTTATTGCCGGTCTGAAGCCATTGGAAGCCGCTGCCTCGGCTGTGGTCCAAGAGACCGCGTCTAATTTTATAATACATGTTAAACAGATGAAAGGTTAATTGAAAGGAACCACAAGTTTCGACAGCCCACGCAGCGTATTACTGGCTTTTAGGGGTTGTTCGCCGCAGTTTTAACCGCCCAGCCTCCCAGGAACAAGGATAATAGGAGACCGAGGGCTTATACTATGGGGATTTCGGTTAGAGTTAAAAGTTTTCGCTTAAATATAAATCACCGGATGGCTTGCCGCTTGACTGATTTGAAACCAAACCCCTTTTGCTTTAGAAGCCTCAAATACAAATGCCCGATCGCAAGTAATTGTAGGTAGGTGTAGAACATGCCACGTAACTTGTGTAATTACTAATTAAGCTCAAGTCCTTCTGCCATCTTTGTCTGGTGGGTTGACCCTCTTTTTTTGCCATTTCCGTGGCTAGAAATCTTACAAAAATAAGCTAAAGGTAATCTTTCTTATTTCTTTCTAATTTGTAGAAGGGTATAAAAAGGAATATCTGCTTAATAAATTCTTCCTTATAAGAAATTAAAGTTTAAAAGTACTCTAGTGGCTTTAGCTTGTTTCTAAACTAAAGTCTCTCTTTTTTGATAAATTTTTAAACTATTTATGGCATTTATATGATTGAAAACCCCTACCATATTCACGCCGTCTTTTATTAACCCAACTCATGGCCTGGCCATAGGGCATTCGGGTTTTTGCCATGGCATTATGTCGGTCATTTCCATCGACCCTGCCTCCCAACCCGAATCCGAACCCCAACCCAAGCCCGTCCCGACCCCGACCGTTCTTATCTCGAACTAATTTGCATTTCTAACCATTTCGCTCTAACCAATTCGCGTCATTTCTTATTTGAAACAATGAGCCCAACAGCGGCCAGAACAAATAGCAGAGGAAGGAGTCATTGTGCTTTGGCTTTTCAGGCAATAAAGGACTTTAGAGACAAAAGAAATCACCGAGAGAGACGGAGAGAAGGAGAGTCAGGACTGAGAGTCAGCGTGTCAAGGAACTTGGTTCGGAGAAAGCAGAAAGAAAGGCAGAAAGAAGTTGGCGTAAAGCAGCTTAAACAATCAGGACTGCCTAATGGATATTGACACTTTAATGCCCTGGCCACCAACTCAGGCTCCGTTTGTGATTCTGGATCTGACTTAAACTCCGAGTTTCAAGATGGTTTCAAGGGGGAATCCCCGCGAGAGAGGCTGAAATCCATTCGTGCAGATGTCCTCCTCTAATTCGATTCGTTTCTCAGATCCTGCTCCTGCTCCGGCTCAAATATATATATCCTTTTTTTTTTTGTGGGGTACCGCATTCTTTGCTTTAAACAAAATTGCAGTGCCGAAATTAATTATAGAGCCGCCGCACTCGGGCCATATTTAATTAAACGTGGACATTTTAAACTTGGATTGAACCGAAGGAACCACCGAACCGCCCAAGAACGTGGAGCCAAAAGGCGTAATTAATTAGTAGAGACGTGCCAAATAATTGCGGCAGAAGTAACTTTTTCCCTTTTTCGGTGGTGGACTCGACTCCTTTATTATTTCTCTGGTCAAGGAATGTTTCAATTACGTGTACTGCCGATGGGCGGTGGGTAATGGTGGGCTCTGGGTGGGCTTCACAGGACTAAACTTTCTGGCCAACGGGCAGGTGGAAATTAATTAAATTAGCAAGCGTCATTTTGGAAGAGTGTCGCGCAAGGACCTGAAATATTTTGTGCCTGTTCCTGTGCCTTTGCCTGTTTCCTGTCACTCAACCTCTCCGCCCACAATAACCCCACGAAAATCACCAATTTGGGCCCTGAAAATTCGCATACATAACCTCACATCCGCTGGCTAAAACCGAAAACGTCATTTCCGACAAATTAGTCCAGTCAACTGCGCCACGATATATTGTGCAATGCTCGGCAATGCCCGGTGCGAGTGGATTCCTATATATACCATACATATATCTGCATGTGCTGCAATGAACGATTTCAAATCGTTGGCCACGTTTTAAGCATATTTCCTGGTTTCAGGATCCAAAGCAATGCCGACAAATGTTTCAAAAACATTTCTCTATATTGCCAGCTTCATGGCATTATTATTTATTTATCAAACATCCTTATTGATTTCTTTGGGTATTTACTTTTAATTGTCGCGCCTTTTAATTGCATTTGAAAAGTGTTATAATTGATGATTTTATTCTTAATCGAAAGTAGAGCGGGAACTAATATTAAATGCAAAACGTTGATTTCCTGAAAGGGAATATGTGATAAACTTATCTTTAAAGACAACCGGCCATATTTTATTCCTATTTTTATTTATTTTGATTCAAGGACCTTTATCAATTAATTGAAATTCAGTTTTTGTGCCAAAAAAGTGCGCAATTTTTTCAGATTTTTGTGCAAACCACTAGGGAGTATGACTTTTGTTCAATTCTTTCACAAGCTGCATTCCTTGTTGCTCTTTAACCATTTTGTGGGTTGAGCTGCGACAATGGGTCCTTTATGCCACCGATGCCAGGGTGAGAAATAGATGAATGGGCGCCAACCTTTAACCCCTTTTGTGTGGGCGTCCCTTTTTCGCCTATTTTTGTTTATTTGCAGTGTGCAAATTTCTTTTTTTTGTCTCTTTTTTTTTTTTTGCGTATGCCCGGGTCACGTCAACAAAAGTGCATACTTTTGTTGTCGCTGGGCTGCCTGCCTGCCTGCCGACCGACCGACCGACCAGCAACATGAAAAATTATTTACATAAATATCCGCGCTGTCAATTGTGTGTTGTGGCATGTAAAGTGACAGTAGCAGCGAACGTACCACACAAAATGGCGTTGCTGTCGACGTTGCTGTCGACGTCGCTGCCGCAGTCGACGTCGTACGTGACTGCACATTTTTTTTCACCACTCACCGCCCCAAAATGTGGGCGGGACCATCAAATGCAAATGCATTGTGTATGTCCTTGTGCACAGTGAAAAAAAATGTCATTATCAGTTTGATATATCAACCTATTTTTTTATGTAAATTTATTATGACATTAAAAAATATATATTTCTGGGTAAAATATGAAAAACTTTAAGGTTTTTATGGTGAAAAAGAAGACAGAAATGCTTCTTGCATTTTAAAAAATTTTTATAGCATACTTTTAAGGGAATATTTCGGAACTCTATTCTTTAGTTTGGAAAATTCAAAGTTTAGGTTTTTTTAAGGCACAAAAAATAATAAAAAAATATAATATAATAATAATATTTTATATTATATTATAAATTAATTTAATTTCTTCAAGTGTCGTTGAATAATAGCAGGCTGGCTGGTTAGGGGCTAAGGTGGGGTCGTGCGGAGTGTCAGTGGCGGTCAGACGTCAACGTTATGGCTGCCAAAGTTTTCAATTTTCCACTTAATTGCTTTCAATTAAGCAAAGAGTCCTCTTTAGTCCCCCACACGAACAGACCTCGAATCGACTCAAGCCCGACCCCACTTCACTTCAATCCTGTGCATCTGTGTCTGCGTCTCGTTATGTCCGTTCAATTAAATTACACACTAAAGCGCTGCACTGCAACAGAGTCCTGGAGACCTGAAAGTCCTGCATTCCCTGCCACAGCTGCCTGCCATCCAGTCAGTCCATCCAGTTCGTGTCACAACCCCTGAAAAGGACCTCGCCGCATTGTTATCATTGTCAAGAAGCTGCAGCCTTTGCTTCGACTGTTTGTAGTCCTCTCTTTTTTGGGGGGCAGGGATACAGTGGGTCCTGCCGAAGGTTCTAAAACATGTTGGATATTTAAATAATAGTTACAAATAATAACTATATTTTTAATAAATATCAAATATCGCGCAGTCTTGGTAAAAGTTTATTTTTTCTTTTTATAAACAACCTCGAGTGAGATTCCTCGAGTCAGCCAATTAGTCTTCTTTTGATCGAGTTACAAATTATAGAACAAACAAAAAGCGTGGAATCAAACCGACGCTTGTTAATGTTATTTTAACCGAATCGTTTGTTGACCTATCCAATCCCTAAACAAATTCGAATCCCATCCAGAGATCCGACCAGACCAGCCCAGGCCAAAGCCACTGTGCGCCCGCACAGAGTGAGCTTATTGTTTGCCGTTTGTTTGTTTGCTGGCCGGGGATGCGTTGCGTTGCTGCGTGTTTTTGACAGTAAGCGGGGCTTGTGGGCGCCTTGATTGTTGCACTTGCCCCCGTGGAGCTGGGGGACAAAGGTCACGGTAGAGCAAGCGAGTGAGCGAGCGAGATGCGAGCCAAACAAATGAACAAATAAACAAACAGAGCCAACGTTAACCCGCTCCAAAAACGCTCGCCTCCGTGGACCCAGCTC